AATATTATTATTTTTAAAAAATAAAATAATAATTATAAAACTATTACTATCATTTTTTAATAAATTTTATAAATTTATTATACTTATTTAAGCTTCTAGCTTATTTAAAATAAAGATTTTTTTAAATATTATTTTTTATTAATTTAGATTCCTCCGCGGGGGTTTCTAAAACTTTTATTTATATAATTTTTTTAAAATATTTTTATTTTTATTAGAATTTTCTTAGTCTCTGGTTCCATACTAGAAGCTTAAGTTAAAGCTTTAAAAAAAGTTTATAATATTTAAATTAATAACAGGAGAATAGGATATACAAGATTTAATATAATTTTTAATTATTATAAATTTATTTTTAATATATTTTTTAATTTATTTTTTAATTATATCTATAGAATTAGTACATTATTTTATAAATTTCTTAAAGTCTTTATTATTATAGCTATACGCAGTGAGATCTTAAAGCTTAATAAAAAATTTACTATAAAAATTATTTTTTTAAATATTTTTATTAACTTTAGCTTCGATGGTAAGATAATAAAAAATTAAAATAAAAATATAAAATTTATTTTTAATTTTTATTTATAAGTCTTGGTACTAGCGACAAACGTTATAAATTTTATTAAAATTAATAAAAATAATTTTTAAATATTTAAATATATTATTTAAATTAAGAAAGGGGTCACTGGCGTTAGAATAAAAATATAAAATAAAATATTTTTTAATAATATTTTAATATTAACTAGTAATATATATTTTATATATAATAAAAATATTATACTAATTAATATTAGTCTTTAATTTTTACTATATAATAAAAGTCTAATTTTTATAAATTAGATCCACGCTATCACTGAATAGAGAAGAATTTAAAATCTTTATAAATTTTTTTATTTTTATAGGGATATTCTAGTCTGGGTATATTTATTATTATAAAATTTATATAGTAAAGTAGTCTTATTCTCTAGTAAAATATTTAATTTTTTAGACTTACTAATCTTATTAATTTAAAAATTATCTTTTTTAACTTCCAGAATATTAAAAATCTTTAAAAAGATTTTAAAAATCTATTTTAAATCTCTCTTATATTAATTATTAAATTTAGTTTAATTAAATCTATTTTTCCAGTCTGGTTTATTACATAGTATTATAGAAAGTTATTAGTTATCCTTAGAACTAGGAGTCTAGCTACTTTCTTTAACTATTTTAATTAATTAGTCAGATAAGTCTTTTAACTATTAGATATTATTAAGAATATAAGATAGAAACTATTAATAGCTTAGCAGAAGCTGGCTATATATAATAATAAAAAAAATAAAAAATAATACTTAAAGTTATAAAATAGCTATTTAATATAATAAAATAAGATTATATTAGTGCTAACTACTCTAAAACTTTAAGTATCGGAAGGAAAAAAGAAAAACAAGAAATATTATAGATACTTAAAGAAAATAATAGTAAAATAAACGAAATAAAATAAATATAGTCACATGATCTTAAATGAGGCTGCTGTCACATAATAAAGAATTTACAATTATATAAATATAAAGATATATATATATCTATTATCTTTATTGTATAATTAAAATTTAAATCTAATAATCTAATAGTATATTTTTATTAATTTTTTTTAGAGTGTAGGTTCGAATCCCAGTTATATTAAAATAAAAATCTTTTTTTATAAATATTTATCTTTATTATATAAATTTTAGGATAAATATAATAATATATTTATTATTATTTATATTTTATTAATTTATATTAAATTTTTAAAGTATTTTATTTTAAAAAATTTACTTCAACATTGCTTATATATATATATATATATATAAATAAATAGATAGATACTATATTTTGGTTTTATTATAGTAACATGAATTTTTAATATTTTAATTTATAATTAAATTATATAATTCTTTATATGATTTATTATCTTTTATCCCCCAGGCCGCGAGGATTCAATAAAAAATTAAATTTTAATAAATATTTGAATAAATTGAATAAATTGAATAAATTGAATAAATTGAATAAATTGAATAAATTGAATAAATTGAATAAATTGAATAAATTGAATAAATATATATAATTATATAATCATGATTATATAATATATTAATATTTAAAATTATGCAAACAGTTCGGATCGGTTTATCCGGTTAAATTCAATAAATTAAGAACTGAACCTCTTGTCTTGGCGGGGCGGTTTATGAATTATTAAACTGAACTGTTTTTTCTTAGTAGTGTAGTTTTAAACCGACCTGTTTACCTAGTATTGTGGTTTTAAACCGACCCATTTAGCTAAACAGTGCGGTTTATAAAACTTAATAAAACCGCACCGAAAACCCAACAGTTCGGGGAACCGACCCGACAAAAAACCGAACCGGGCCATCACTAACTTTTATAATAGCTAATAATATTAGTTTTATATTCTATTAAAATAATAAATTAATTAATATTAATATTTAGTTTTTAATATATAGCTAGTATCTAATCTTTAGTAAAAATATTCTTTCTATTACTAAATAAAGATAGATTAGGGATTTTCATTATTTTTTTAAACTTAAAGATAGTTATACTTTAAAAAGTAGTTAAAGTCTAATAAATAACTTATATTATAAAAATATCTTATTTTTTAATAATATCATTCTATTTTTAGATAAGAATAGTTATCTCTTAGTTCTAATAATTTTATTATTAAGGAAATTATCTCTTTTAGTCTCTAAATTATTAAAAATCTTTAGAAAAATTTTAAAAGTCTACTTTAGATCTTTCTTATATTAGATATTAAACTTAGTTTAATTAAACCTATTTTCCCAGTCTAGTTCATCAGGTAATATTATAGAAAGTTATTAATTATTTTTAGAACTAAGAATCTAGTTATTTTCTCTAGCTATATTATTTATTTAATTAGTTAAATAGATCTTTTTTAGCCATTAGGCAATACTAAAAATATAGAATAAAAATTATTAATGGCTTAACAGGAACTAGCTGTATATAATAATAAAAAAATAAAAAATAAAACTTAAAATTATAAAATATTTATTTAATATAATAAAATAAGGTTATATTAGTGCTAACTACTCTAGAATTTTAAGTATAAAGAGAAAAAAAATAAGAAATATTATAGATGCTCGCTTGAAAAAAATAATAGTAAATAATAATAAAATAAATAAAATAAATATAGTTACATGCTTTTAAACAGAGCCGCCGTCACATTAAGTAATTAAAAATAAAAGATTAGAATATAATAAAATCTATTTATTAAAATAGAAGATTTATTAATTAGATAAAATACTAACTACTGTAACGGCGGCTCTGTTCAGCGGCTCTGTTTAGAAGCACGTGACTATGTTTGTTTTGTTTGTTTTGCTATCATTTGCTGTTGTTTTCTTTAAGCAAGCGCCCACAACACTTCTTGTTTTCCTTTTTCCCTCCTTACGCTTAAAGTTCTAGAGTAGTTAGCACCAATACGACCTCATTTTGTTGTGTTGAACGGCCGTCTCAATTACTAAATATATAAGATTCTATTAATAATAACAAAAGTAACCTATATCTATAAGATAGATTGATCCTTGTAAGATCAGTAGTCTAATATTAAAAAATATTATTTTATAAAAGATAAAAAGATTTAGAACTATTATTGATAATTTTATAACTTCTATAACTACTCTAGTATATTATCTTAAGGACCTTATTCCCACTAACTAAACTATTATACTACTAAACGTCAGTCAGGCCAGTGCTGATAAGATAAGGCCTTAATCTGGACTATTCTATCATACTACTTATAAAATTCTCATATTTTATATTTTGATTAATTAGAATTTTTTAAATAACTTTCTATATAGATTACAGTAATTAAAAATAATAAATTTATATTGGATTATAAAATTAATAATATTCCTCTAACTAAAGATAGTTAGATTTTAATAAAAAATAATATAATAATAGTTCCACTTATATTATATAATATCTATATTATATTATTTATTCTATTCATTTTACTACTATTAATATTATTTTTTTAAATAAATATTTATATTTCCTTTAACTTTCTTCTTTTCTCTTCATGCTTAAAGTTCTAAAGTAGTTAGTACTAATATAACCTCATTTTATGTTAAACAGCCATCTCAATAACTACCAATTCTTTTAAAATTATAATATAGATTTAAGAATATATTTATCCTTAATTTAGTTTATATGGTCTGCTACGTAGATTTTAATAATTAATAATTATAATTTAAAATAAAATAAATGATATAATAATTAAATTTATAATAATTAATGTTGGCTGGAGTCCTACCTGAGTTTGCTGGTATTTAGTCTACTGTACAGTCTACTAAGCGCCTGCAGGTACCTTTTAGCCGAGCGGTCAGACTTCTGTTAATTAATAATTTTACTAGTATTATAGCTTAATTTATATATACATTTTTTGAAATTTTTATTTTAATTTTTCTTAAATTCAATTATGTTCTAGATCCGGAAGAATTTAGAAAAATATACCAAAAAATTTATTAATAAAATAATAATACTAATAAAGATAATGCATAAAACCATAATATTAGTACAATATAAAGTTAAAGAATAAGAATATAATTAAGAACTATGAGTCTATGGTTTAATCTTAAAAACTAAATAAATAGATATTGATTAAGCTATTAAGTCATATATCTAATATAAAACTATTAAAAAACAACAATTTTCATAATTTTTTAATATTTAAATAATTTAAATAACTTTGATCCCTACTGTAAAAAGAAGTAGTAAAAAATAAAAAAGTAACTAGATTTATTATAATAGGTAATTATTATAATCTTTTTAATATGTCCCATTGTATAGAAACTGTTAATTGTTTCATAACCTAGCATGTAAACACTACCCAGTTTTTAACAGTCAATGCTGACGACGTGAGCTACTACTATGATGTAATACATAGATTATATTAACTGATGACAACTAGATAGACATCATGTGCTTGGTGTGAGGGGTCATCCGGGTAATATGATGTCGTAATCACCTGCATCTGCCGGTGCTTAACCAGAAACAAAGGACTATCCATTCTACCTTCTCTTTAGCCCACTATTTTCGGGGAAGCACACGTTGCTCTATAGTGCTTATGACTCTTCAACCTAGATTCGTGGGACAGAAGTTGCTGGCTGCGACTTCCCAGCAGCCGCAGCATACGCTTGAACTCTGTATGCTAAGTTGGACACTGACATTGTATACCCGCTAACTGACCATTGCTGGTAATCCTAGACATTGACTATGTCTGCCCTGTCAGCTTTCCTAGCACCCTGTCCGGCAGGGGGTTACTAAACTGTTTACCTCTAGTTCTCTGCGAAGCTGTTTAACACGTTTTACACATCAGTGAAGCCAGTTATTATACAAAAATACCAACAAAAACTTCAGGTCATCTTTCGTCAGCATATCCAGCCTTGGCACCCATCATCGACTCTGACGCATGAAGCTGGCGCAGCTGTTCTGAAGATAGCTCCAGACAAATTCTGGGAATTCAGCGCTGCATTGTTCAGTCACCAAAAAGAATTCTTTGATGTTAGTGTTGTCAATGAGACGCGTAATGATACATATCAGAGACTCGCGAAGATCGCTGCAACTGTTGGTGTGGACGAGCATGAGATGATCGATTTATTGAGAATCAGCGAGGCCATTGGTGATGGACAGTTAAATTCCGGTAACAAGGTGACCAATGATATCAAGTTGATGGTCAAGGTGCGTCACCGAGTGAGATCGTTACATCATTGCAATCTAATATGAGATACAGTCGAATCGTATTATTGGCGTTCATGTCTCCCCGACTGTATATTTCAATGTAAGGTACCCCATTATTAATCTCAGGTGAGATAGTTCACTGATTCCACTGGTTAGGGCGTTGAAGAACCAAATATCAGCAGCAGCTTCACGGCCACACAGTGGGAGCAATGGTTGGCCATGAATGTGGCTTAAGACATTGTGCTAGAAGGAATTTGTATGATAACATGGAATGGAGAATCAAGTCCAGATGATAATAATGAGGCAGTCTGTGGTAGGGAAGGAGAACATCTCATTTCGAAACTCGAAGCTTCTTTGAAAAAGCATCTGGATGCATAATTCAAACGGATTTTTTGATTGCAAGACTCTTGATCTGTGGCTGTTGCTGTTTTTTCTTTATCGTATTAATACGCGCAAGAGTAACATGGGCAACTCTAACCTCTGATAATATTCCGTCTGACTATTTACTGCGATACTGGAGGTTGATAGTTCAGGGGGCGCCTGTGGGCATTGATCAGCAGCCGAAGGTGGAAGATGACCCTTTATCCTTACTTAAAGAGAAGGATATGTGGTTCTGGTTCGTGCACTTCATAATGTTCCCAACCCAAGCTCTGATAATCAGGGTTAGACCTCTTGGACTTGCACGGCAGATGAAGTTCTTACTTGTGTGATTCCAAGCGCTCGCCACTCGTCCTCCCACAGCAACTTCAATGTTCCTTTTGAACTGTCAAAATAGTCGGGCGGAATTTTTTTCAGCATATTTTTGGGAAGTTGAACATGTCGGTATTCGAATTGATCGTCCGAGTATCTGGTCGTCGTAAGGTCAGGAGGCTCCAGAGGCCTCTAAAGGATCCAGCTAATGCGTGACATACCTAGCTGAATAATGAATAGAATCAATGAATTCTTCGAGTCTTTCCCGTTCGGATTCTAGCAAAGGGCGGGGCTTTTTATTCCTTCTGCTCAGATCGATGTCCATCTGGAAAAGCGGGGGTAGCGGGGCGGAGACTATGGGGATCACTAAGGTCTGATCGCTGTTAGAAGGAAGCGTTAAACTGACAATGGGATGCTGCAAGTGCTGAGACTGAGGAACAGGCCGTGCTTGACCAAAGACTGAACAGACAATCATGAGTAGATAGTTCTTTGATTGCAGGTTGAGAAAGCAAGTGGGTGGCTGGAATTCAAATCCCAACAAGGCACAACACACCTTTGTATTGAGTATCTTTGGCACCTTTCTTGTTTGAAGAAGAAAAACCGAGTTTCAGTACAACACAGGCTTTGAGGCATGAATTGGAGCCGACTTGCTTTGAAAGTGTAGAAAGGACCGAGCCTCTATCAGGATGTTCCAGCGACCCTCCAGCTGTTTAGCATACTAGTGGAGTAGCTACCCGCTTCAGTGCCTAAGGTATCAACGAAAGGAAATTCGAACTCCATCTGAGCAGGTAGATACATTGGGTTCTTATGCTCAACTAGCCTAGCGACGAGATTACTTCAATCAATTTAGAAATACTAGAGGGAATACCTTCATCTGAATACACTGGCTACAGGTTAATGGATCCTTCTGAATCTTACTTGTCATCTCAGTTTTAGAATTCTCGCGAAGGATCGTCACATTAGCCTTTCTATAAGAACAGGCTGAAATTCTCTCACAAAGCTTTGCTCTGCGATACTAATTGCAAATGCTTGTATACTGACAAATTGTACGAAGCACGACTTTAGCTGTTGGGTCCTAGGAATAGAGGAGTAAGCTATCTATAGATAGGTAAAAAATGCATCCTAGCTACTCCGTACTAGTAGGAAGTTGAATGATTATATAAGGAAGCTAACAGCCAACCAGGGCCCTTCATTGAGTTTACCTCAGCCGAGGGCGCCAAAGAGGGAACTTGAATTAGACTAGAAGGGGACGGGAAAAAAAAGGAAAATGAAAATGGCAAAGTGGGTTCCTTTTTTTTTCATCCAAATTTTAACCGCTCCCACCTCAACGCCTGGGGCAAAATTTATTTAGTCTTCCCTTCCTCCAACGTTCGTCTTGCCTTTTGGCTTCGTTTCAATTTTTTCATCCCATACTTTCGAGACCCCTATTTTTGTCAAAATGGCCGACGAAGTTTACGAAGGTGCCATCGGCATCGATCTTGGTGAGTCTTATCTGCAATGTGCTGCTATGAATTGTGATTGACGAAAATTTAGGAACCACCTACTCCTGTGTGGCCAACTACGAGGGTACCAATGTAGAGATCAGTATGTTATTACTCCTGCTCTAGATTCGCTACCAGTGCACTTATTTTGTTCAGTTGCCAACGAGCAGGGTAGCTACACTACCCCGTCCTTCGTTTCTTTCACCGACAAGGAACGCTTGATCGGTGAAGCCGCGAAGAACCAAGCCGCTATGAACCCGACGAACACGATCTTTGACATCAAGTAAGCCTAGTTGTTGGCCGTGGCCTTCCGTCAGACTTTGTGAACGGCTTTTTAATTGAATTCAGGCGTCTCATCGGTCGTCGTTTCGAGGACCCCATCGTTAAGAAGGACGTTGAGTCATGGCCTTTCAAGGTCGTTGACCAGGGTGGAAACCCGGTCGTGGAGGTGGAGTACCTGGGTGAAACCAAGACTTTTAGCCCCCAAGAGATCTCCTCCATGGTCCTGATGAAGGTACTAATCACCTCCCGCTCGGCTCGTTGGCTTGCATACTAAATAGTCTGCTCTAGATGAAAGAGGTTGCGGAGACCAAGCTGGGTAAGAAGGTTGAGAAGGCCGTGATCACTGTGCCTGCTTACTTCAACGACAACCAGCGACAGGCCACCAAGGATGCTGGTGCTATTGCTGGTCTCAATGTGCTCCGTATCATCAACGAGCCAACGGCTGCTGCCATTGCCTATGGCCTTGGCTCTGGCAAATCTGATAAGGAACGTAATGTCCTCATCTACGATCTAGGTGGTGGTACTTTCGATGTGTCTCTCCTCAACATTCAAGGAGGCGTCTTCACTGTCAAGGCTACTGCTGGAGATACTCACCTTGGTGGACAAGACTTCGATACCAACCTCCTGGACCACTTCAAGAAGGAGTTCCAACGTAAGACTGGCAAGGATCTTTCCGGTGATGCGAGGGCACTTCGTCGTCTGAGAACCGCCTGTGAGCGTGCCAAGCGTACTTTGTCCAATGCAACCCAGACAACTGTTGAGATTGACTCTCTGTTCGATGGTGAGGACTTCAACTCTTCTGTTACTCGTGCCCGTTTCGAGGACCTCAACGCCAAGTCTTTCTCCGGCACCCTGGAGCCCGTTCAGCAGGTTCTCAAGGATTCGGGACTTGAGAAGAGCCAGGTCGATGAAATCGTGCTTGTTGGTGGTTCAACCCGTATCCCCCGTATCCAGAAGCTGCTCAGCGACTTCTTCGACGGCAAGAAGCTCGAGAAGGTGAGTGGCCTGTCCACGTTAGATGAAGCGAACTGGGCTAATATACATACAAGAGCATCAACCCTGATGAGGCTGTTGCCTACGGTGCCGCCGTCCAGGCTGGTATTTTGTCTGGAAAGGCCTCTTCGGCTGAAACCCAGGACCTTCTGCTGCTCGATGTTGTTCCCTTGTCTCTCGGTGTTGCTATGGAGGGTAACATCTTTGCTCCTGTTGTGGCCCGCGGTCAGACCGTTCCCACAATCAAGAAGCGTACTTTCACCACCGTTGTGGACAACCAGACGACCGTGCAGTTCCCTGTTTACCAGGGTGAGCGTACCAACTGCGCTGACAACACCTCCCTTGGCGAGTTCACCCTCGCCCCTATCCCGCCCATGAGAGCTGGAGAGGCTGCCCTAGAGGTTGTCTTCGAGGTCGACGTCAACGGTATCCTCAAGGTTACTGCGACCGAGAAGTCCTCCGGCCGTAGTGCCAACATCACCATCTCCAACGCCGTTGGCAAGCTTTCCACGACTGAAATTGAGCAGATGATCGATGGTGAGTCTAATTACCTATTTTGCGACAGCCGTGGCTAACTTAACATCTTTGTCTAGATGCCGCGAAGTTCAAGTCTAGCGATGAGGCTTTCACCAAGAAGTTCGAGTCCCGTCAACAGCTCGAGTCTTATATCTCGCGTGTCGAGGAAATCATCTCCGACCCCACTATGTCCCTGAAGCTTAAGCGTGGCAACAAGGAGAAGATTGAGTCCGCTCTCAGCGATGCCATGGCTCAGCTTGAGATTGAGGATTCTACTCCCGAGGACCTTAAGAAGAAGGAGCTTGCTCTTAAGAGGCTGATTACCAAGGCCATGGCCACCCGGTAAACTAATCTCTGTCCGCTTATTTTGGTCCTACGCGCGGCATCATAATTGCCCTTGCCTTATCATTATTTCCCCTTCCAGTTTCTACTATCGGATTTGCGCAGAGTGGCCAATTCTCTTGCTTCGCCTTGGATTTGAGACCGTTACGTCGTCTACGGAACCCTTTTTAGATGAGGCGTGTTTATTCATGACCGGGTACAAAATTGCGAAAAGTATTTCACGAAATCTATTTAGATGAACTCGTTTTTTTTGGCATTATGACGTTGAGCCTCCCATCGTGTGAATGTAGGGGTATACATGGTTCGACTTGATGGGGCTGACTCGTATCTTCATCAATCTCCATTCTAGTGCAGAAGCAGGTTAAATTATTTTGTATTTTGCTATAACCATCCTAGTCGGTCAAATTTCATACCCATTTCCTTCACTGTCTTGGTTGAAGCATCGGTATATACTGTATCTGGATCTATGCGGCGTAACTTGCAGTCCGTAGCTTCCGGGCAATTCACTCCGCATTCATCCGTTCACCTTCAAACTACCACCGGCAGTGAATCGAGAGCAGTACTACATTCTACAGATTAAGACGAACACCAGACCAAATTAAAACCCAGAAAGACGCCCAAAGAACGCAAATTACAGGAAATGCAGCGCCCTGCAGTGGTCACCGTTCTTAGCTGCATCCGTGGTAGGCCTGTATTCCCTGGATTTCGACCGATTTTGATGTCCGAGCATCAAAATCCGCACTGGTCCCAGCAACGGCCAGCAGCCTCATATAAGAACAGAAGCTTTTCCATTTCACCCTTTTTATTCAAAAAAAAGGAGAGGACCAAAGCCACCCCTGGTACAAATTCTGAAAAGCTCTTGTCAAAGCCAGGAGCCGCGTTCGAAGATCCTCATGATCTTTCCCAGCTGCATGATGGTGTAGCAGCTGCTCTGTCTCGACTCAAAGACGACCTCTCCAAATTGCGTGTAGGGGGGCGATTCGATACTCGATCGATTGAGAACCTTCGCGTGCAGCTGAGTAAAGGTATTAAGGAGTCTGTGAAGCTAGGCGATCTCGCCCAGATAATTCCCAAGGGTGGACGGATGGTGACCATCCTAGCCTCCGAAGAAGATGTAAGTCTCTAATACCTCCCTTCATTTTTGCTCTTATAGAGCGCCTTAATTTCTTTACTTGTTCTGCTCTAACGTGGACTGATTGTATAGCACGTGAAACCGATCATATCGTCAATCGTTTCTTCTAGTCTTTCCTTAACTCCGCAGCCTGACCCCCATAACGCTCTTCAACTCAACATCACGATTCCCCCACCTACGAAAGAATCTCGGGAACAGACGATCATCATTGCGAAGGCAGCAATGGACAAGGCAGCAGGTGCTATTCGTGATTCACGCGGTGCTGTACACAAACGTCTTCAGGACTTGCAGAAAAAGAAGATTGCGCGACCGGATGATGTTCGGAAAGCGCAGGAACAGATGGAAAAGCTTACAGAAAAAGGGCAAAAGGATGCGAGGGAATTATTTGAGGCCACAAAGAAGACTATGGAACGAGCGTAGTGGGAAGGCAGGTTACTGAATCGTGTTGCATAGAGCATAAATTATATAATCATAGCCACGGGTTTTGTAGATGGATAAAATCAGCAGCATTTTGTGAGCCATTGGCTAGTGATACGGGGGTAAGGGTACAGAAAAAGAGAAATCATGGAAAAGACAGGAGTAGAGGTACATAGTGACAGTACTGTACAATAGGATTTAAGATACCGGAGTCTCAGGTACGTTTCGTAGGGCGACTGGATGCTAAAAGCGAATCCAACTTTGCAATAAATGCAGAGCTCTTCCCAACCGTCTGATACGTCGCATTATTTCTGAGGTTTTCCGAGACTTTGTCAAGGACCGAAAGCTTGTCCTCCCGTTTGGCTTCTGGCTTGGGATAAATGCCCTTCACAACCAACCCGACAAGTGTATTCTGGTCCTTTGCGTTGATTGGGCTGAAGTTGACATGATCTGGATCTACAAGATCGCCTTTCTGCTGAGAAATCTTGTCCGCACGCTTTTGGGAGAGCATGTTGGCCTCAGAGATCGCCTCAGACTTTTCTTGCTCACTAGAAAAGTGGACATATTTCCCCTGGTATAGCCGCCTACCCAGCTCATATGAGGGTACATAACCATTGGGAAAGCGATCGCTGAATAATGACAGCTTTTCGACAACTCCGGCGGTATGAGCGCGGATGTTGGTAGGAAAAGAGGGCCATGTCTCCCTCAACGATGGCAACGAAACCGAATGGGGAGCGTAGCGGACAGGTTTGGGTTGTGCCTGCTCCGTAAGTTCTCGAAACACAGCGTTGATCGCGGCTTCATGATACAGTTCGTCGGATACCTCCTCGGGCTCCTGCAAGTCCTGAGAGCGGCCTTGTCTCCTGTCTTTGGATGCGATTTTGGTCTTCGTAGCCGCTCTGGGGCTTCGAGCAAATGCTGGCCGGCCATTCCGAGGTGATCGAGCTCTAGGACCTTTGATAATTGCTGGTTGGCCAGCGGCTCGGGACGCGGCTAAGGACCTTGCATCAACTATCCGTCGTGGGCGAGGCCGATCGGCATTGGCGTTTCTAAAGGTCAAGTTCGCAGGAGGAATACCGTCTCTTCTTGTTCCACGAGCAGCTATTGCGATCAGTAACTGGTAAAGGCAGATAGAGAAACACAGTAAGATGGCTTGTCCAGATTCTGAGGCAGAAACTTCACAAGGATAAAGAGGGAAAGCAAGAGGCATGAGAATCTGGGATGGAAGACTAAGATGTAGCGCTTACTGGGCTCGATCGTGTTGTCTTTTGCCTGGGATCGAGTAGCCGAAAACCGGCGGATCAGAGACAGAGGACCCCCTACTATCCTCAGACGCTCGCGGTGTAAGAGCATGGTCCAATGTTGTAGCATAATTGTTGGTGGGGATTCAAAGGTTTGGTTAAGATTGAGCCTAAAAATGTTCATCACCGAGTGCTGCAAAATCACGTGGTGCCCACCAATTTGGCGTAGCCAACTATCAAGTCCCAGTTATATTTCCCCGGAGGCTATCGTCCCTACCAATTGCCTTTATTTATAGCTTCTAGATAAGACCACAAACATGCTACGCCGCAAACCTACTGCCATAGCCATAACTTCCGAGGACCTTGTTGCCTTCGAAGAAACCCGCCTCCGCAAGCTTTCGAAAGAAAATTATACCCAGGGCCATGCCAGCACCAGCGCCCATGTCAATCTTGACCCCAGCGACGAGCTAAAACCATTGCCAGGAGATAAGGCAAGGATTGTTCGCTCACGAGAAGAGCGAATCGGCATCAACCGACGCACCTGAGGTCTAAGCTCCCATGCCTGGCTTTCTCCGCATATCAATTAAACACGGTGTCTTGGAGGTCTGTTTTAATTCCTGACATATTATACAGCCGCCGCCTTGGTTACCCAAGTCAACTGATCGCCTTTTTACCCAGATAGGAGTGGTTCTGAATACTTTACCAGATAAAGTCTGGGTTATCGTTGCATGTTTTACATTGACACCACACTAATGACTCATGCGCCATGATATTGTAGCTTGCCAGGAAAATTCTGCTTGAATTAGCTTTAATACAGCGAATATGCTTGGCAATCAAGCCATCATAAGTAACAAAGCCACCTTGTACGGGTTGCAGCTCGTTATAATCCGAGAAAAAACTAAGTATAGTCTAAAATTCTGCTACTCATTGAATTACCCACTTCTTAGAGTTTATTGGAGATTTTAAAAAGTATTTATATTTAATATAAAGTACTGTACAAATATAATATTATCTTAGAGCAGATTGTGACAGTAAGTTATGAATAAAAGGTGCCTATATTTTTGGTGAACACCACCTTTATAAGTATTTCATATGTATATAACCGATATACAATTATATATCTTATAATTTATAGTATATGCAATGTTCAAACGAGTAACCTAAAAAATTTAAAATTAGTAGACTAATAATCATATATGGATTCTATTTTTTTTTCCCTTTTTGCTAAGGAGCTGTTTACATGTAATATAGTGACATCCATTTAACACCTCTGGAGCATTTCTGTGATAGGATCTACTTGTCAGGGTAGAAGGCCTGTCGACTAGGTAAGGAACTAGCCACCAAACGCGTAGGATTCCACTGATAATGACAAAGGTAGCCTATATCCAAGAGATAGACTGATCCTTGAGGGATCAGTATTCTAACACTGAGGGACGTCGCCTTATAGAAAACGGGGAGGTTTCGAACCGCCACCGATGACCTCACGACCTCTATGACCACCCGTCTGTCACCCCAAGGACCTTGATCCCGATAGCTAGGCTATTCTTAAGCTATCCTATCACAATTTCTCTTCTACTATAACAGCGGTTATTGACATTAGTGTCATCTCCCGGCACGTCGCTCTCAAGCAAGGTCTTTGGTGACCATGGGGCCTATGATATAATAAGTATTTGGCTAGCACTCTGGGAATTGCCCCGTAGGAGAATGGCCGGCTGCTCAATCGCCAGGGGTGCCTTAGCCCAGTGTTCTTTGGAATCTCCAGAACGACTCTTCTGCTATACCTGTATTGATAAGCCTGACTTAATCAAACTGTCACATATCAATGAATAATGATCTAGATACTATTTCCCAGATTTTAAAAGTATTCTTGGCCCAACTGACAGGCTTCTTGTCACGGTGCAACCTCCCAAGCCGGGAAGAGAGGAATACTGCTAAGACTCACCGCCCCACACGTGACCCCAGACACAGTTAAAAGCCACTTACCCTCTGAGCCCTGTTCGTAGCTTTGAGCTACATCTTGTCTATCATCCTATATATAGCTTGACTAGTAGCTAGCTCAGTATCTAGTTAAAATCTTAATTATTATTATTATTTGAGTCCTGCCTACCTACTAGAATCTATTATTCTATTATCTCTATCTATCTATATTTTGATACTACATAGTTCCTTTCTTAAGATAGTAGGTTTATGAAATGACCGCTATTCTATAATTTTTAATTAATCTTAGTAAATCTAATAAATTAGTTTAATATGTTTCTGAATACTCTAGAAAATAGTATAATTATTATAAATATATCTTTATCTTTGCTATGGAGGTCGCTGGTAAATAAAACTATTTATAATAAGATTTTAATATATAAAATATAGTAACCGCGTATTAAATCTAATAAATTATAAAAATTAATTACTAGATAGTTAGTACTTTAGTTATTAAAAAGATTACTATTAAAAAAAAGATTAAGTTTTAGTTAAGTATACTAAAGCTATATAAGTTATTATACTAATAGTTAATACTCCTGTTCTAACTCTAGAACTTATTATTAAAAAATCTATAGCTTTTCTAATAAAAGTAACTATATTAATTAATCTTAAATTTTTTATTTTTATTTTTTTTCTAAATAACTACTTAATCTTAATAAATTTAAAAATAATTATTTAAATTTAGACCACTTCACCTCCTAGATCAAGATAAAAATAAATATTAATTATAATTATTATATTACTATCTCTATTTATAAAGCTTATATAACTAGCCAATTAGGTAAGATTTTTTATATCTAGATCTAATTTTTTATAAAAAATAATAACTGTATCTTAAATAATTTTATAGATATTTTAAATATATTTAAATATATTTTTAAAAATTTTAATTGCGCCTGTAATACCCAGTAGAAATTATATTATTTATAATAAAAAAATTATAAATTTATTATATATTTTACTAAATTTAAGAGATTTATTTATAAGATCTACCTATATCTTAATTCTCTAATAACTATTCTAGAGAATAGTATTAATTAAAAGCTTAATATTATATTCTTAAATAATATATTTTTAAAAAAAGATTATTATAACCTAGCTTAGTTCCTGTAGAATCTAGATAACTACTAGTTAAGATATAAATCTAATCTCTAAAACTATTTATAGAGATTAATTAATATTTAATATATTATATCTATAATTATTAGAAAAATTTTATAAAAATCTTCTATAGGAGCTTTTAACTAAAGATTAATTACTCTAAATTATAATTCTATAGATTTATTATTTATTTATTATCTTTTTCCACGCCCTAAAACTATCTGGAAGAAAAGAGAAAAATACTTTTATTATAATTTTAATTAATATTTAATCTATAATTATCTTAAATCTAATATCTTAGTCTAATGAACTAGTTATATATCTTATTTATTTTTATTAAGATAGATCTAATTTTTTTTTATTATTAATTATTACTTATACAAACCAAACCTTTAATAAAAAAAATCTTAAATTTATTTAATTTAGGATCTTTTATACTAGTCTTATAATTAAGAATAATAATATTACTAGAATAACTATATTTTCTTAACCCTAGTGAATAGTTAAAAGGATTATATCTAATTTAAGCTATTATTAAAAAAATATTACTCTATATATTTATATTATCTTTAATATTACTATTAAAAAGTTTCCTATTAAGGAGGAGCTCTAAAGGACTAATTTAATAATTATATTTATTATATTAAATCTTAATAATTAAAGAATTATTATATATATAATATTCAACACTAGCTGCTTAATATTATATATTATAAATAAAAATTAAATAAAAATTTATTATTTATTTCTATATTTCTTAAAGCATCCTAAATTTATTATAAGATTTAATAATTAAGAGAATAAGACTGGAATAATTATCTATTATATTTATATAATTTTAAAAATTTATAATTATATAGAAAAAGATATCTTATTCCTAATTATCTAATTAATTTATTTTTTAATTATATTTAATCTATCCTGGCTGAAGGCCCATAACTTCTAAATAAATTTTATTAAATATATTATTTAATTTACTAACCTGTATTATCACTAGTATTATAATATATTTATTTATTTAATTAAAATCTATATTTTATATAATATTTTAATATATATTTATTTAATATATATTACACCTTCTCTATCCCTGAAGAACTGGAATATATAATTAATTTTTATTATAATTTATATAATTTATATATACTAAAATTATCTAATATGTACTATTATTATAGACTAGATTAATATTATTTTATAATTTATTTTTAGTATTGAAGACCCTACACTACTAAATAAATTTAAAAATTTTATAGATATCTTCTCGCCTAAGGAAACAGAGAAACTTTTTTTTATTATAATTATAATTATATTATTATCCTAAAAAAGAGAAGGACTTCCTTATTTAGTTTTTTATATAATATATTTTAAAATAAATTATAAACCCTCCATGAATAACTATTTAAAAATTTAAAGAAAAATTTTATTTATTTAAGCTTATTATCCGCTGTCTTACTAGTCCTATTTATTAAAAAATCTAAAGGAAGGCTTAGATTCTATATAAACTATTATATTTTAAATATAATTTTTATTAAAAACTACTACCTACTTCTACTTATAAAAAAAACCTTAAATAATCTAAAAAAAATATATTATTTTACTAAAATTAATATTATCAATATCTTTAATAATATTTAAATTATTAAAAAATAGAAGTAATTAATAGTATTCCGCACCCACCTTAACCTATATAAATTATTAGTAATATTATTTAAATTAATAAGAGTCTTAACTATTTTTTAATACTATATTAATAATATATTTTGAGATTATTTAAATATCTTTTATATAGCGTACTTGGATAATATCCTAATCTATAACTATAATTAAATAAAATATATAGAGTATATTTAACTAGTCTTTATAAAACTATATAAAATTAAATTCTTTATTAAAATATTAAAATATAAATTTATTATTCCTAAGACTAAGTTTCTGAGTCTAATCATAGACCGTAATAGATTCTATATAAATCTAAAAAAAATTAAAACTATTATTAAATAATTTATTCTAGCCTGCGTGATAAATATATAAGTTTTTTTAAAATTTAATAATTTTTACTATTATTTTATCTATAATTTTTTTAAAATTTATTACTTCTTTTGTATAACTTATAAAAAAAAATATTCTTTTTATTTAGATTTTTATATATTAAAATATCTTAAATTATTTAAAAAAAATTTTTATAAAAGTCCCAATACTCTAACTATTTAATTAGACTTGAGAAATAATATTAGAAACTAATATCTTAGATTATATTTCTACCAGAGTTTTATCCTAGTATAGTAAAGATAAATTATTATATTTTATAGTTTTTTTCTCTAAGAAGTACTTTCTAATTAAATATAATTATTAAATCTATAATAAAAAATTACTTGTAATTATTTACTGCTTTAAAAAATAATATTTTAAATTTAAAAAAACTTTATCTCTAATCTAGATTATTATTAACTATTATAATCTAAAATATTTTATATTAATTAAACTCCTAAACCACCGTTAAGCTTGATAGTTAGAATTTTTATTCTATTTTAACTTTAAAATTATATATTAATCTAAGTATTATAGAACTAAGCCTGATAGCCTAACTAAGAGATTAAAAAATCTCTTAAAAAAAAGATGAATAATTACTGTACCAAAGCCAAACTATATTAAAATAAAAAAAATCTAAGCTTTATTTATTTACTTATTTAAATTAAGGAAGACCCTGAACCCGGAACAACTAAAAAAATCCTAGATTTAATAAATATAGAATATTCTTAAATCCTAAATAACTATTTATATAAGAAAAATTTAAGAAAGACTTTTCTAGAAATATCCTAGTTCTAATAACCTAATCTTAAAATAGTATTATCTTTAAAAATAAATAAGACTTATTATTATTACTAGAAATCTAAAATATCTTACAAGACACATATAAGAAAGATAAATAAATATAAAACATACTAAAGATATTAATAACTAGTAAAGACTGCTATCTAAATATTTTTTTAATTTTTTATAAAAGAAAAGAAGATTTATTATTCTATAAAAACTACTTCTAGATTTTTGACTACGACGATTTGAAAGTTAAATTAACTTAATTAATATATAATAAATTATTCTTAGAATATTCTAGGAAGTTTTATATATATAAATTCTTAATTTAAAAATATTATTAATCTAATCTCTACTACTATATAAAATAATAGATAAAGAATTATTATATTTATTATTATATTATCTTATTTTAAAAAATTAAATAAAATATTCTAAAACTTCTACTAGTTTCTGAGTATATTTAATAAGATATATTTATAGATTTTATTATATATCTATTTAAGAGCTAAGAATATGATACTATACTAGTAATTATTAATAAATTTATTAAAATAAAATATTTAATATTTTATAACTCTACCGCCAACACTATTAGAATAACTATAATATATATATAGTATATATAGAAGCTATATAATCTTTTTTATTCTATAATCTCTAACTAAGGCCTCTAATTTATAGCTAAATTTTAAAAGTATTTAATTTAATATTTAAATATTATTAATTAATTATTAATTATTTACTACCCCGAGACCGATAGTCAAATAGAATAGATAAATACTATATTAAAATAATATTTTTATATTTATATAAATTATTTATAAGATGACTGGAGTACCTGATTCTTTTTAATTAAATTTATTTTAAATATTATATATTTTAATATTATTAAGATTATATTATTCTTCGTTAACTATAATTTTTATTTATAAATAAGATTTAAATCCGTACCCGTCCCTAATTAATTTATTGCTAGAGATGTAGAGTAATTTACTATAAAAATATATATTATTATAAAATTTATAAGAATTAAAATAGTTATAGCCTAAGCTAAATATATAAAATAAATTAATAAGAGATACTACTCCAGCCAGAGATTTTAAAAAAACTAAAAAATCTAATTAAATATCCAATTTATTAAGATTCTATGATCTAGTAAGAAACTTGATTAGAATATTTTAAATCTATATTTAATTAAAAAATTATTAGCTCCTATATATACCGCCTAAAACTCTTATTAAATATAAAAATCTATTTAATATTTAATATAAGCTTGCTTATTCTTGCTAATAATAATTTATTATTTAGATAATATTAATTCTCTTTCTCTTATATTAAGGTTAACGGACTTAAGGAATGGAAGATTAAAGATATATTAAATTTTTTTTAGAATTACTAGAGATGAGATTATCTCTAACTAGTATATCTTATTAAATAAATAGAATATATTAATTTTATTATTAAATCTATGGAATACCTGGAGAATATCTATTAAATTATTAAGAATTTTTATTATTATTATCTATATAAATCCCGATCTTTATCTCATAGGAGCTCGGCTTAAAGAAAAAGAGAGTACTATTATAGTATAACTTTCTAAGCTAGAAAGAAAGAAATATTACTAAAACTTATTACTCCACACGTAATCTTAAATATAGTTAAAAGCTACTTACTCTCTAAGCTCTATTCATAGCTTCGAGCTATGTCTTATCTATCACTCTGTATATAGCTTGACTAGTAACCAGCTCAGTATCCAGTTAGAATCCTAGTTATTGTTATTACCTGAGTCCTGCCTACCCGCCAGAACCTGCTATCCTACCACCCCTGCCTGCCCGCACCTTGACACTTCTCTACCTTGCCAAATGAATCATTATCCACCATCACAAGTACTATGATTACTATCACATAGCGCGCAGATGTATCAGTCAATTCAACAGCCCAATAAATACTAGAAGTATACAAGTTTCATTGTTTCAAATGGGTTCGAGAGGGTGATGCCCTCTGTTACATGCGTCATGCAGAGCGCATCCAGAATGACCTGATAGTTTGAATTGTTATGACTGTGATAGAATAGTCCTGGATTAAGGCTTTATCTTATCAGTATTAGCCTAATAGATATCTTAACTCTATAATATATTATATTAAGATAATTAAAATTATAAAATTATTAACTTATAGTTATATTATCGTAGTTTATTAATCTTATATGATAAGAATAGTATAGCCAACTATCTAATTTTCTGAGAATTAGTCTTTTTCTTAATACACACAGTGGATATAAGCTATCTTATTCTGATTCTATTCTATTAATAATCAGAATATATTCTTTATCTAGTTGGCAGGCTACCTATCCTAATAATTAGATCCTATTATAACAACAAACAGGGTCCTACGCATTTGATTTATATAATTCGTACAAGGAATCGCATGTCTCCTTTCGGCACATGAACATAACTAGCATTCCCGTGGGAGCAAAATACTATAAAGGGTTGCAAAAACGGCGGAATGGCAAAGGTCCCTTCCGACATAACCGCCACAACATGTAGCTACTGATAACCACATAAAGACTCCAAAATCTTACAATCCCAATCATCTAGATATGTCGAGATGCCCTCGTCAACGTTGGCGCTTTGAAGTATTTTCTGCTCCCATATCAAGGGAATAATTCCATCGCCGTTTGAGTCCGTTTGGATCATACACACTGGCAACACTCTGTTGCCAGTCCCGTGCTGTGAACAAAACCTGCTGCCCAGTGAACTGAGCGTGTGGCACGGGAGTGGGCGCGACTGAAGCAACCTTTGATTGTTGTTCATACTGTACGGGGAAGTGTTCGGGAAGAGGTTGGACTGTTTGAGACGTATTGCTCAAGGCCATCGGGGGTGAATTCGTGGTGACAGTGGGTGTGCCAATGGAAAATGCCATATCCCATTGACTAGACGGTTGTTAGCATCAGCGGACATTTCCTTGGATATTAAATTTTGCATTGATCCTTACTTGATGATGCGAGTAGGATCCCAGCTATTTTCGTCGACTAAAGGTGTATTTGTGGTCATTGAATGAGGCGGGATTAATCCCAACGGTTGGAGCTGAGAGGAGTCGGACTTTGAGTCTTCAGTACCGGCTGATATTGGAGGGGTTACTGGATAAGTTGTATAACCCACTCTACTTTGAACGCTAGACACTTGATTTATCTGAGGCCCGTAATGAGAATCTAGTGGCGGACTTGGGTGGTATGATTCGGAAGGACTCCCATAGGGGAATGTCGGCTTCAATTCGAAAGGTCGATTCACATCGGCAGAAAATGCAAACCGTAAGGAATCAATTTGTGCTTGTAGTTCTGGCATAGGCCAAGCAGATGAACATCGCTCGAGGATGCGCATGTGTCGCGTAAAATATTCCCGTGCATCTGTGTGAAAATTTGGATCTGGAGATGTTATGGCCACCTGTCGCAAAGTTAGCTGCTCTTCAGATCCCAGAATAGGCAGTACAGGCTCACAAGGTGCAGCATTGTGCATGTGAGAATCGTGTAGATCGTGAAATTGATTCCCCTTTGCATAAAAAGTAGCCCACACAGTCCAAATCGATTCAGAATGGCTTCCTGAAGCCTACATAGGTATTTTGCAGAGGAGTAGCATAGTGCCATATGCATTTTCCAACCACCTCCTGCCGCAAAAGACTTGGAAGCAATCAATTGTGGACGATGCAACAAGATGATCCCAAGATGACAATGTGAGTGCATGTTTCCGACAAAATGCGACGGTATCCATGGTGGTGATCCATCCGGAGGGTAGTTGACTTGAAGATCCGAGGGTAAATTTTGGAGCCAATCGGTAAAGAGAGGGTTCTTTTCAACGAATTTAGGATTGGCTCCCCAATCCTTTTGCTTCTTTATCTTATGATATATGTCGGCGATAATACGAATATGGCGCGCATTTCGGACGAAATATGCATACTGTCTAGACCGATCCAGTTCAAATTGATCAAGTCCTCGGATATCCAATGTCGGATTCATATTTACTGTTTCAGGGTCGACACCGTAGTCCGAGCGACCTGCAAACCATCAGCCGACATAAACTTACAAGGAACAGATGACGTACCCTGCGGCGCCCCAATCATAACTTCAACGACCAGAAGGGCTTGCCATACTCTTGTCTGCACCAAGCATTCCACTGGATTCAAGTCGCAGGGCCTGTCTTCCGTGTGAGTATTGTTATGCTCGTGGATATCCAAGTCTTTCGCCATAGAAACAATTGTCTTGACGGTTTGCCAAGAACGGTAATAGTAACCCTTCTTTGGCCGCGACTCTCGAGCCTTCAATAGCAGAAGCAGAGCTTGTATTGTACTCAGACGAGGTTCGTCCATGAAGCTAGATTCGTGCCCTATTGAGATTATTCCACAATCAGTACACGGTGTAGTGTGCGTTTGGCCTGGAATTATAATGTCGCCTTACTGTTTGCTAAAGCGAGCCACTGTGCTCCTTGAGCTGGGTCGTCCGACAGCCTCCCTGCGCACGCGAATAGTGCCTCAAGCAGAAGCGGAGAAATTGAACTTCGTTCATGTTGCCATTGGTAGTAAAGGTGAGATCGATGAATGACAGGGACATAAGGATGTATATCATCAAAGTATATTTTGAAGTAGTTCATGACCTCGTCATCAGATGGCATAAGCTCAGGCGGAATGCGTATGGTGGAGCCAGCTCCAGTGCTCAGAGGCGGCAACTTTTCCTCTATTTCATCCTGAGTCGGAATTTCCGGTTCAGCTCTCTCTCTTCTTTGATGCCTGATATAAGGTGCTATGATTGCGTCAGTAAATCCATATTTAGGTCAGGTACCAGGGACTCATGTCTTACCGATGCCAGTCTCGTCTATCTTGAGCTCTCCCAAAACCTCGCTGAGGTTTTCGGCAGTAGATTGATCATGGTCACTGTAAAGATCACTTTCTGCGGTCCCCAGAGACTGACTTTGGTCGCTGGGGAACATCCGTGGTTGCTGATACTGATGAGGCACGGGAACCTGGGACGATCGTACGTCGTACACATTGGGTTGGCTGGAAGTGGAATGCGCAAATTGAGAAAACATCCCTATGCTGTCATTATATGGGTGCATGTTTCCCATAGTGGGTTGACCATTATCTCGAAATGATTGAGAGGTGGTAAATGGAGACAGTGCAGGTTCTGGTGCGTTTGATGCGCTTAAAGAGCTGGCAGTGTTGGGATCGACGCTTTCCGCTGCTGAATACTCGCCATCGTGTCCAATTGTAGGGGGAACGCAAACTAATTTCAAGCGAGTGCATGCTGAACATGGCCAGGTGTTCGTCGTAGCAGCGTCGCACTTGATCTTACGCTTCCTGCAGCCATTGCAAGCTCGCATTACTGGTGACAGCCACCGAGTCAGACTCAAAGAACAGAAGTCTGCTAACAGCCAGACGTACCTTTAAGTCGCTTATGTCTGTTATGTTCATCGACAAATACATAGTCTGCGCCAAGAGCCGTTAATACGTAATTTATGATACGGATTCAAGATGACGATGACGATGATGATGAGGATGATTTCCGGAGTGTATAACTCGGGCAAGCAGTGATAAAAAGATCTGGGCGGAATTCAGGAGCTCTTACTTTTCTGGCCTTCCCTCGGGGGTCCTGTCGGGGGGGCGAACGAGAAGCCTTGCATTTTGGCGTATAAAGACTGTAATAATGGATATAAGACAGCCAGAGAAAATGGACCGGGAAAGCAGGCAACAAATCCGGGATAGCTGGAAGAGGAGAGGTGAAGGAGGGGCCCGCAAGGCCTGCCTTGTGCGGATGGAATCAATATAAGATATATCCCGAATCTTCCACCGTTGTTTCAATCAGCTCGAATAGGGGCTTAACAATGGCGCAACCGCAATGTCACAACTGCGAAATATATGTCCACACTTGCCCCAGGATGGAAGGACGAGGATTAATAGGGAGTAGCTAATTGCGACCGAAAGCAAGGTTGCCAAACGAGATATCAAGCGTCGCACTCGGTAATAAGATAGGTTAACCGGCGGCAATGGAGGATGTCTTGCAGTTGCCGTACGGTAGTCTTTTGAAAACCGATACGGACGAGCGCGCTTGAGTCACAGATGCTTGTGAAAATTGGGGGTTTAACAAGATCCTAGGAGGTGGGAGCCTCAGGGTGACCGCTTTCACAAAATGTAGGCTTCAACAAGATCGGGATTGACAACAACCTCATGGATCGGCGACACGCGAGACTTGTATCTCAGCTAAAGGATGTAGTTGATAAAGCTGCGACCAAAATTACAAGATGTCAGCTATAGTTGATGACCTGAAGTTGTAGTGGGAAAAAAGGGGAAGACACAACAGTGATACATTGGGCTAAAGATGCAAAACAGAATGGCATCAAGTACGCAGCGATTGAGGGTGACAAGAGCATGACTTTCAGCATATGAGGGACATTCAAGGGCGGCGAACAAGGAAGGTTGACGTTGGAAAGACATGATAAGAGATTGGCACCATGTGAGGGGGCGTTGGAGGGAAGGAGCTAATGATACCTGATAGCCAGGAATGAATGACTTCTCACCCAGTCTACATCGTACTCCAGTAGCGTCAGTAGGTGGAACTCGCCATTGATAACTGAATATGGAGGAAGATGGACTGGATTGGCGCATCACACCCCGATGTGGAGGTCACCATCTGGATGAAGTGGGATCCGTATGTAGACAACTGGGGAATCAAAGCTGAGACAGAAAGGATGAATAACCACAAAAACAGAAGAAGCTTGGGATAAAAGCACAGTGGCAAAGAGACAAAACAATAAGAGCATCAGGGGAATCAAAAGCCCACCGATGCAATCAATGGTTCCCGAATGGAAACAGGATCTCCATACACTGGGAAGGTGCGGGAAGCTGATGCTGTCTCCTTGGCTAAGTCATCACACTCTTTGCCGCCTCATTCTCCTAGGCAGTACTCCGTAATAGATACCAGACAGGGTAGTTCGTGGTGCACGGTGATCCGAGTGATCGGTCAATAATATTGATAAGAGTGTGCGGAGGCCTGCCGCCTGGCAACGGGGGTAGATAAACACGTTTAGTTCCCTGAAATTCCCTGAAAAGCTGAAGTGGGCGAGTGGTGGAAAGGATATTTGGCCTAGGTAATAGGTAGGTATGCACCACTTTCGAGGATCGCCTCGGAAGTTTGGGGGAGGGGGGGACTTCCGCTGCGACTACTCCGTACCGCAGTGGCGCCCAAAGTTATAGCGTCCTCATGTATCTAGGCCTCATGTCCATCATTTTAAGGATGGGAAGGACGATCTCTAGTTGGGATTGGCCTTTAAAGATCTAAAGATTCTTGGCGGTATATAGTGCTCTGAACTACAGACTGCATGTTACGACTATTGATTTCCTTATGGGATATCCCTGCGCCTATTGTGCGATTAGGATCTACTTGAGTGGGCTACTGTACCCGTGGGTATATCGGACTGTGCACTCCGTACGGATAGGTTATTGCACTTTTACAATACAGAATGATATGATTCTCTGCGAGGTATCCTGAACAGCAATGCAACAAAAGCTCTTCACTGTTATACCTCTGAAGATATGCATTTCGAAGGATATGAAGGATACATGGCATAAGTCCCACAAGCCTTGGTTATACAAGGACATACTGTACATTAATTGCGAGGAAATACCCAGTCTTTGTCCGTACTACTCATGGGCATACTTTTCTTCGCTCATTACGGAGTACCGCTGAATTATATTAAATACACCTCTTACTTGGTCATGTAATTTTACCCCGAGTAGCTTTAAATGGTAGTAATCCTGTGGCAGAGTAGGAGGGGCGCGTTCGAACAAAGGCCTATAACGGACTTCTTGAGTCTACTCGTGCAGAACACCACATGAGAATGTAGTACGTGGTAGCACTCCGTACTAGCATATAAGAACCCAAAGCCGAATTTCAAGTAGGCACCAATAGTTCGCCTATACTGACCCTAAATTGATTCTCACGGCGCCCACCCATACTGACAAATCAAGTCTTGTTAACTAATTAGTCGAAGAATTACAAGTTGCATTATCTTCGGAGGAAAATTACTGATATGAAAATATTCGGTATTGTGATGGATAGTACTCCGTACTTTAAGTGTAACAATATTCAAGGCGTACTAATGTTGAATCGGTGACAGATACCATAATCGTGGCTACAGTGTAGCATAAACCCCAAGGCAGTAATTAAAATGCTGCTAAGACTCTTTGTTAGCAATGATATACTAGTGTTCCAAGTCCGAACGTGGCAAACATACTCCGTACATAGTACCAATACGAGGTACTCCGTACTGGGACTTTATTGGAAAAATGTTGTTCCTTTCCACCATTCGAAACACCCAAGGAAATATGCCGCCTTACAGCTAGATACATGATCCGCTCGGGTTCAGTTTACTCTTTCCCAATGCCTCTATATGCCTCTTCCAAGGCTTTGTGTATCTCTGTTGATAGACCGCTAGTGCATACAGAGCAAAAGACATGGATCCCGCTATGCAGAATTCGAACCCTACCATCTTAAACGTTGCAGATCTCCCCACACGACTGCATCCTGCATCATCTCGGAAATCGGGCACTTACAGAGACGGAATCCTTGCGTTAACGCTTTCCTCTCTAGCAGACCCCACTGACCTCGCTCTCAGTCCCTATGAATCCGAAGAGTCAGATGGTGATGCTGGTTTGATGGAAGAGCCGATTGATGAACAGGAGATTTACGGTAAACCGATCGGTCTCCCCGAACACATGCTTTAGGAATTACCGGGGAGTCGAGTATCTGACGGCCTCATAGATCTTGTGTCGACGATATCCGACCCGGAGCATCCCATTTCATTGGGAGCTTTGGCAGTTGTATCACTTCCTGACATTTGCATTAGACCGACACTTCCGGAAGTACCGAGTTCACTTCTTCGAACGGTGACTGTTCTCATAACTCCGACAATAACACATTGCAGTCTGGCCACGGTCATAGGCTTGGGTGTACGAGTTCGGCTTGAGCAATCGCTACCCCCGCGGTTTCGTATGGATGTGCGGATCAAAGAAGGAACGCACAGCACAGCCGATGAAGTCAATAAACAGTTAGCCGATAAAGAAAGGGTGGCTGCTGCACTAGAGAATGGGACACTAATGGGCGTCATCGCAAAGATGCTTGAAACATGCCAATGATTCGATCAACACCGCAATTCAGACATTATTCACATTCATCGTTGGCGTTTGGACTATGTCGTATGAATACGCGTCCTCAATGATGACTTGATTGGGTACTTGTGATAGTTATACAATCATATGGAAATAGCCACTTACGGCGCTTGCTGCTGCTCCTTCTATGCTCCAACAAAAAGGCAGACTATGAGTCCAAGACGCCGCTCTCCTTCAGGCCCTTCCAAAGCTCCGGTTCCAGAAATTTGCTCACGGTGACATCCTCAGCTAAGCCTTTACGTCTCCTAGTTTTCAAAACAAAATCGCGGGCTGTGGCCATCGCCGGCGCCATTTCCAGGGGCTTTACCTTGACTTCGCGATCAAGTGGGTCTCCCGGAACAACGCTCCATTTATCGAAGACAAGACTAACAGCGGCTTGACCTTGGGTATGAATGCGGAGATCTGTTTCGAATCCAAACGAGTCTATAACAGGAATCAAACCACGGACGGAATAGAGTGGTGTACCTGCTATTGGCCCATCGGAGAGAACATGACCTCTTCTGCGCGAAAGGACTGTGTACACTGATGCGACAGCATCCGCCGGCCCTGTCATTGTGCAGGAGTAAATAGGTTCCATCAGGCGAGGGGAGGCCATGAGAAAGGAGGAATAAATTGCTCGTCGAGCGGTGGGAATGATTTGACCACCGCCTCTGTAGATGGCTTGATCGGCGAGAGAAACGTCGGTGAGTCTAAATTTTGTATTTCGAATGGCTATACTCGCAGTCAGTCATCATATATCATCTTTCCTTCTTTGCTCGCTTCTCTTTATGTCGCTGTGGTTCACATGTATAGGACTTAGGTGCAGTATCAACCTCCAAAACAGAGCATAGGTGTACTTACGTTCTTCGCAAAGAGGGCCTTCTCTTGTTCCCCAGCTAAACCCCTGCGTAATGGAATCTCTCACACTTGCGAGTAATTTCTTGTCGATCTGTGACGGTAGCGTATCATCCTGTAGGATGTTGGGGCCCATCTCGTCTGGACCGAAAGCCCAGATACTTCTCGCTGCAAGTTTATCCCAATCATATCTCTCTTCGAAAAAGCGCGCCACCTTGCGAATTGGGTCTTTGATATTAACTGCACAGCTTTCAATATCTTCAGCAATGCCTTCATCAAGAGGTTCTGCGATCATTGTAATCTTATTTTTCTTGTTTGGCGTGATCGAATAGCACATGATAGCGGAGGTCTCAACAACAGTCTCACAAAAGCGCGTGACAGGGTCAGAGACTTTGATCTCCATCTCTGAATACAATCTCCGTAAGTCATGGAGCACACAGTCCATATAGAGCTCGCCCGTTCCAAGGACGACATGCTCGCCAGACTCCTCTACTTTTGTAGAGATCAGCGGATAGCTCTTGTTGACTTTTCGAAGGCCCTCGAGCATTTTGGGCAACTCAGACGGATTAACGGGCTCGACGGCGACTTTGAAGACGGACTCAGTTATATGCCGAATTGGTCGGAATATGTATGCGTCCTCATTGTCTTCCAAATGGAGGGGTACAATGGTCGCTGTCTTCACAACTGAGCTATCCACGCCGCCCAGAAGGACCAAGTTGCCGGCAGGGACACCACTCGTCGGAATATTATAGCAAGACTCGGCAATCCATGTGTCAGAAATGGTCGCAGTCACCATGTCCTCCTCATCATCGGGAGTATAGCCCTCGCCGAGCACACGGACTTGCTGACCAGGACGAGCTGTGCCACTCATTATCCTGCCAAAGGAATGAAACCTGGAACAGTCCGCACTGTTAAAAAGTTTAGTGATATGTACGACGAGTGGACCATCAGAATCACAGGCAGCCATAGCTGCCGCCACCTTAGTGTCAAGAGGCCCAGTGTAGTACCGTTCAAGCTTCCTTTGAGCACCCTCCGCAGGCGAAGGTACATGCTGAAGTACCATGTCCACAAATCCTGTTGCAGACCCAAAGAACTGTTCACAGACGAGACCGAGTAGAGTCTTCGCATCTGACTTAAGTTGCGACGGCTTCAGGCTAATCCCAACACTTGAAAGTGTCTGCTTCAGATCTTCCGGGCTTTCACTTAATGTGTGCGAGTAGAGTTTGTATATTGGCTCCAGAACAAATTGGACAAATGTTCTCTTTGAATGTTCTTCGACACCCTTTCGCGTGATTTTCCGACTCCTTGGATTGAAGAAGATATCACCCCATAGGCGCAAGCAGAAATCAGCTGCATCGATCTGGGGATGACTTTCCGCATACATCTTGGCAAATGAATGCAAGGTGAAGCACCAGCCCATGGAGGCGCAAGCAAAAGCAATGTTGCCCTTCTCAGGGCTCAGTCGCCTTGCAGCGCCCTGGCCAGGCAGTATGTTTTCGATAATGGTGTTGACCTCCTCGATAACATGCTTCAGTTTGAAATAAGCATCGCTAGGTGGGATCTTCAGTTCCAGAATCAATCTGTCCATCTTGTTCACAACCATTGTCAGCGGAAGGTCTTCGAGGATAGCATGTTTAATTATTTGCTCCGTATTGGCCTGGACGCCCTCAACCACATCCACTACAAGAACGACGCCGTCAACTAGTCGACATGCAGCAGATACCTCATCCACGAAGTCCACATGTCCCGGCGTGTCAAGGACGTTAAACAGATGAGATTTCCCCTTCGTGCTCTGAAGTACCAAGCTCATGGGTGCCGCCTTGATAGAGAGACCCCTTTCTCTTTCCAGAAAATGAACATCGGTATAGCGAAGCTGTTCCTCTTTTCGTCTGCCAGCTCGTTTGTCTAGACGATTGGTGAGGTCATGGGTTTCGGTGACCAACATGTCCATAAAAGCCGTCTTTCCATGGTGCAAGTGACCGACTAGAGCAACATTCCTTGTTTGGTCAGGAAAGTTGAGTAAATCTGTCATAAATTCCCTCGAGTAATAGACGGGAGGCAATTCGGCTTCTTCGATCGCAAACTTCTTCTGTTGGACGGGGGCAATGATAGGCTCAGAGAGAGGTTGCGCGTCCTCCTCTTGCACAAGGGTTTCGACATCCTCACCGTACACCTGTTGCGCACTGGGATAGTACTGTTTGTCTTCATGGAGGACGACCGCGTTCGAGGGGCCTTCTGTGACGGAAGTCAGCACGACGTAGGTTTCATACAGAATGGGCATGGGAAAGGAAACTCTACCATCATCCACATCCATTGACTGCTGCTCGTCTACATCACCAGCATCGTACTCGTCCTCCCCGCCGAAGGCCTCCTCAAATGCGAAAGGCTGGGGGTTGATTGCTTCATGATGCGGAGATTCCTCGTCCGAGCCCTCTTTCTCTCCTATATAGTTACCAAACCTGCGGCAGGGTAAGGATGTCTGTCAACCGAGACCAGGACGATGTCAAAAGAAAGTGGATCAATTGGAGACATACTCATCATATAGATCGTCCATTTTCCACCCGGGTTGGACGTAATGCGGGTCTTTCTGACTTCCTGTTTTTCTGTCGCCCTCGTCCACCTGCTCGAAGAAGCTCGCGTCGGTCCTCGCGATAAGTTTCTAGCTCCGGGACCGCGCTTGGCGTGTTTGCTGCTCCGGCGAGTTACTCCGGAAGCAGTACGTTTGTCCGTCCGTCTGCCCCGCCCGCGTCTCCGAGGCCAAAAAAGGGCGGCCAACAAAGAGGGGCCGGCGGCTTGATGGCGGAAAGCAAACGAGCTGGATCTGTTTCATCCGTTCCTTTCCTCGTGGCCTGAGCTGCCTGTCACTACCTACTCTGCACCGTCTTGCTAAATATTCATCTTCCCTTACCTCCCCTCCCCCATCTTCGATCTCGTCTGCCTTGGAAGCACCGGTCTTCGCTATGTCTTCGCTCCCCCCGGTTTACATCGTCTCCTCCGCCCGCACTCCAGTGGGCTCATTCCTGGGGTGAGACCTCAACCCGCCATGTCAAGAGCTTTAATTTAGGCCACGGCGAAGCTGATGACATTTTTTGTGTGCAGTGCTCTGTCGAGTCAGACCGCCCCGCAGCTGGGCTCCCATGCGATTAAATGTGTGCCTGTGCCTGATCAAGTCTAAGTGCTCGAGCGATGGATGAACCCCTGACTTCTGACTCGTCCGATACCTAGCTGCCCTCAACAAAGCCGATGGAATCAAGCCTTCTGATGTGCAGGAGGTCTTCTTCGGCAATGTAATTTCTGCCAAGTGAGTCACTTGCTTCCTGCAATTAATTTATCATTTTACCATGATGTAGGCTAAAACTCCCCCAACCAGTGTCGGGCAGAATCCCGCCAGACAATGCGCTCTTGGTGCTGGACTCGATGAGTCAACTGTGTGCACTACTGTCAACAAGGTTTGCGCCTCTGGTTTGAAGGCCATCATTCTCGGTGCCCAAACCATCATGACTGGGAATGCAGACATCGTTGTGGCCGGTGGTACCGAGTCCATGTCCAATGCCCCGCATTACCTCCCGAACCTCCGTGCTGGCGCAAAATATGGCCACCAGAGCCTGGTGGATGGAATTATGAAAGATGGCCTGACGGATGCAGGCAAGCAGGAGCTTATGGGTTTACAAGCAGAGGAGTGTGCCCAAGACCACGGATTCACTCGGGAGCAGCAGGACGATTATGCTATTCGGACTTACCAAAAGGCCCAGGCTGCTCAGAAGGCAGGCCTTTTCGACGAGGAGATCGCGCCCATTGAACTTCCCGGCTTCAGGGGTAAGCCGGGCGTCACCGTCGCTCAAGATGAGGAGCCCAAGAATGTGAGAGCTTGCCCCATCACTTGTGCATTATCCCATTCTTCTCGTGCGTATGAAACTAACCCTCGTCGCTTTCATCTTCTAGCTTAACCCTGATAAGCTTCGAAGCATCAAGCCCGCCTTTATTCCTGGCTCTGGAACCGTGACGGCCCCCAATTCCTCACCTCTCAATGATGGTGCTGCAGCTGTTGTCCTGGTCTCGGAGGCTAAAGTGAAAGAATTGAACCTCAAACCTATCGCAAAGATTCTCGGATGGGGGGATGCCGCGCACCAGCCCAGCAAGTTCACTACCGCCCCTGCGCTAGCGATCCCGAAAGCCCTCAAGCATGCCGGTGTTGCGCAGGACTCGGTTGATGCATTCGAGATCAACGAGGCTTTTAGCGTCGTTGCCCTTGCCAATATGAAACTACTCAACATCCCCGAAGAGAAAGTCAACTTGCACGGGGGTGCCGTGGCCATTGGTCACCCGATTGGTGCTAGCGGCGCTCGAATTCTGACGACGTTGATCGGAGTTCTCAAAGCCAGGAAGGGCAAGATCGGCTGTGTCGGTATCTGCAATGGTGGTGGTGGTGCAAGTGCCATGGTGGTGGAGTCCCTTCTGTAGATTCTGACATCTTGTACCAGCGACGGAGGTTGCCGTCAAGATTTGTCAGGATAGGTTATGATATTACGGTCCTTAAGGGTTAAATTGCGGCAGTATATTCTAGCCTAGGCCAGATTGTCACTCTGGCTCAGATGGAACGCAATTTAATGCCCAAGTGGTAGCGGTCGTCCATGGCATTTGCTTTTACAATATGTACGAACAGCACAGATAACTCATCATACAGTCGGACAGTCTGTCATCTGGTCCTAAAAAGTCGGATATAGGAAATTGGCCCCTGGCTGAATGATGAACAGTTGTCTTGAATTCCCTCATCTTCTGGATAGCTAGTTATAGCATTGAATATGAGTCAGCACTCGTGTTGTGTTTGGCATCAACTGTTACTAGGCTTGACGGTCCATCATATATATGTAGCCATCTACTCGGATGCGATAATGTGCATTTTTCTTGTTGATAAGAGTTCGATTATCCCATAGCAGAGAACTTTTGGCAATCGACAAAAGTCGACACATTAGCCCAAAGCACCAACATGCGCATTAAGTACCAGAAGAGCCACGATACGATTCGAGCCGCTGCATTAGGATATACGAGTTGTGGTGCTACATCGGCAGTGGATGCAGGATAGTGGCAGGTGTTCAGGCAAATGCACCAACGAATGCCATCAGCAGAGCACCCCCTGCAACTGCTATACAGGCCTCGATGCGTCTTTGGCCCCTGAGTGTCGCATAGCTTCCTTCACTCAAAAAGTCCTCTGCAAGAAGCTCTACAAGCCCCGCAAATAGCAACAGCCCGCTGCTGATGGCGTTGGTTATTCCGACCGTAAGTAGACCCGTAGTGCTGGCTGGGTCATAAAGGTTATGCAGAACAAGACCCATAGCTTGCCCTATGGGAGTAGTAGTTCCATACGCGAGGGCCATAAGCCATGGTCTGAAAGACGATGGAGGGAAGAGATCCGGAATTAAAGACGCGATCCGGGATCCGAGAGCGAAGCCTTCGAAGGTTTGGTGAAAGCAGATAGCCACGAGAAGGACAATAAATGACGTCCCTGTGGCAACACTGAGTGCCATTCCAATGAAAATGCTGTGAAATAGGATACCAGCCTCGAGCAACAGACACTGGAGCAACTGACGTTGTGGGTTCTGCCTGGACGAATCGATCTCTGTCCCTTGACGCACAGCACCATGAGACTGATGATCTCCAGAGTGCCGGGGCCGACCATGACGCCTTTCCTGCGTATTAACGCGAGTGCTTTCATATGGATCTGTCCCTCCATACTCTATGGCACGACCTTCCGTGAACGTGGCCAGGTCTTTATTATTGAACGTAGAAGATTCACCAGCTGACATCCCTTCAAGTGGCCCGGAAGATTCCGAAGGCATCTGATCTCCAATGCTATCAAGGTGAATATGGTCGGCCAATCCGTCTCTGTAGTTGATTCCTTCGTCTTGATCGTCACTTGAAAAATCTGCACCAACATCACTGATCAATTGGTCATATTCACTCCCATGCACATGGCCTGCTCCTTTCAAGGCGAAAAACATCTCGACGAGAACGACAACAAACACAGAGATCATGGCCACAAAACCGGCCATGGCACGGTAGGTTTGGCTCCAGAACCGAGGAAGACATGGATCAGTCAATGAAACGAATGCGGTAGGGAGCAGATGGACAAAGGCAGTGGCTATCAGTACTCCTGTCCCAAAATGCCTAGAAAGGAAAAGGAACCGGCGTGGAATTGGTAGGCGCGGAAACCGGCGAGCAAGAACAGGAAACGAGCATGCTGATACACCACAGATTAACGGTCAGCTACCGGGAGCGCGCTCAAGGGAGTAACAATGTACCTAGTGTACTCAGCACAAGTATAAGGAATAGTGCGAAAACATGTATTGCGGTATTGTATGCACCCCGTTCTCTTGAGCCGCAGGTCGTAGTGCCATCGTTCGAACGCTGGGTGTTACTTCGCCGTGAAAGTTCCGCCCGTAGGATGGCATCAGGGACCTTCAAGATTAGTGAAACGATGTGTTCTATGTTTACACCATGTCAGCAATGGGAAAAAAGGGGAAAGAAAACATGCTGTTCCAAGCGAAAGCAGTGTTCGCCCGAATCCTCTCCTGTCATACAGAATGTGCCTCATACACTTACCAGAACTACTGATGTCGGCCTGGTCCAGCCTTTGAGGTCCGTCCATTCTCGTCTATTTCTCATATAATAATGTACACACGCCGCGTCCATGACCTGAAGACAAGTTCTGGACGCCTTAATCAGCTCAGGAATGGTTCAGAAGCAGCCTAGATCAGCTCAGCTGTTGAGCATTTCGCATTGCAGGGTTGGCGGGGGTGGGAACTCACAATCAGTTCTGTAGACCTGCAGCGACGCCGTGATTTATTGCATCAAGAATCTTCAAAGGCGGGATGCGGCTTCTATGACTAAAAAAGTGATGGCATATTGCAAGCCGAAGGAGACTTGCAGGTACGTAGCAAACCGGACACGCGGCTCATTTAGAGAGATAATCTTATCGATCAGTAAAATATGCCTGCTTAGCTAATTATGTCCCAATGAACTACTCCGTACTACGTAGTTACTTGCGGCAGCCTGATGTAGCCGATTGAAAACAGCTTAGCACGCTCCAGGTTAAGGCATTGCATACTTTGTAAGAGTAAGAATATATCTTGGTACAGAGGCGCTTTATACGAAGTTGATAGTCAATCAAATCCCAACAATAACCATCCACTAGGAGCCCAGCCAAGACCAAGGATTACATAGTAAATGTGTAATTGCACGCCTACGAGCGTAGGTAACCAACGCTCGATGCCATATTACAAAAATACTCGATGAACGAGGTGTAGCAGTTCGTTGGCCATCTCTACCTGTTTCTCAACTTGGTCCAGCCACTCGTTCCCTTAAGCCGAGTGGGTCCGTAAGGTCCACCTAAGGTGTCCGCACCGGAAATTGTACCATCTATACTACTATCTCCAGTCTGCCCCCGCTGGTGAGGCGAGCCAGCGGCGGCAGACGGCTGTCGAAGTATTCTTGATTGGCCTGGCTCCTGGATTGTATCGTCCAAGTCGCCCTCCAGCAACTCCCATTCTGCACTAGCCATTTCTCCCAACAGAGTTGACTTTAGCTTGTCCACAACCCTAGTTGGGGTGGGCAGTTTCCAAGTGCGCGTAAATTCCACGCCCTCGGCGGCACCCAAAAAAGAATGTGCGGTGCCGTGTGAGTAATGCCCTAGCATAGGGAATGACATTGTGCGTTGAATAGTAGTCCTCGGAGAGTCCCTCGGTATCCTTATCTTCGTCTGTATGTCGCGTCCAGCAAAAGCTCTTGATAAAGTGGACGGCTGCGCGGGGGGGGCCACAAGTAGTTGCCACATATTCTTCCCAACATTACAAATTTCTTCCCAAGAGTCTGATAATGTATTCATGCCCTGGGTGCGACACAGCCACGACACATTCCAAGCCAGCAATGTTACACCTTCAAGGAAAAGGGCATATGTTCCTGGGTCCTCCTTAGCCAATTTCGGAAGCGCCCTGTCGATGAAGAGGGGTCGAGGCCGGGGAGGGCGAGGTGAGTCTGTTTTGTGTTCCGGTAATACAGAAGGTGAAGGATGCAATGACGATTCCCGAGAAAGATACGATGCGGAGGGTGCAGATATAGTTGGTGTGGGATGGTCTTTATGTGGCAATGTAATTTCTGCTGGAAGTCTGAGAGACAGGTAGTGTGAAACAAGGATGAGAAGGTGCGCAACATAAAAGAGGGACGTCGATATATAAGCTGGTGTGGCTCCTGCAATTGAGAATTAATAATTTAGCGTGAGACAACAAGGGTGAAGGTGTGACTTTCCGTTCATGTCCCTTAGGTCGATAATATCTACACCACCTATTGTATACGTCTCTTGGGGTGCGCCATCCTTGTTCTTGGTCTTTCGCTGTAGCCCGTAAAGATTGGCAGCTTCTCGGCAAAGGAATATTCGGGCCTCTGCAGTCTTGCTATGAAGCGAATGCCAGAGATGATCCGTCCTCTTGGTATTGTTCTGTATGCCAGCCAGCATTGCAGCCTCCCGCTCACAGAGTAGATACTGCGCAGATTCGGAATCCGAATTTTGCCGTGCTAATGCGAGTCTCCGTTGAGAAATGTCAAGTCGTTTGTCGTTGATCTCAGACATTAGGTTTTCGATCTGATCCGAGACTGATTTCATCCTTGTGGAGGACTCGGCTTGTTCCTTGGCAATGATTTGGAGAGACCACTCTCTAGAAAGTCCATCCTCGCAAGATACGGGATTCACATCGTGTTTCCTTGACTGTTCTGCTTGGGCTGTGCCAAGTGTCACTGTAGTTTCGATTTGTTCCGCGATAGATTGTTTTTCGAGCAGGATTCTGGCGTTTTCGACCCGCAACTGATACAGCTGATTGCGGGCACAGGTAGGGCAAAAGAATCGTATGCGCGAAGCTGGAGCGCGAAAACATGTGTGACAGCTCATCTCAAGAAGTTTACCTTACTCTCGGTTGAACAATACCGCGGTAGCTCACAATCCCATGGCCTTGGACTTGCGGTGATGGGTTATCAACTTGACTGCCTGGTTTCGAGCATGTACGTTGACTGAACAGGTCATGGAAAAGATAACCCCTCATGACTTACCGGCTCAGGTGGCGACATCAAATATTCGCGTAGTGTTTGGTAAATGGTTTGATCGCCTATGTCAAGCTACCCAAGGGGAAACCGTCGCTTGCATTTACGTCACCTGACAGCTCTATTATTGGATGTACGTAACTTTTGCCTGAGGCATTAAGGAACTACCTTATCAGACCCACTACGGAGATACTCCATAAGTAGTATCGCAGTCAGGGAGCTGGTAACTGCCGTACAGATACCCTGCCCAGGCCAGTTTCCAAAGCCTACAAAGTACAATCGTGTTGTCTTCTTCTAGTAGCTGGGCTTTCGCCCCGCAAAATACCGGCCGACCTGCCTTACAATATGGAGAAAATGACCTTGAGCGGATACTCCGTAATTGACCTAGATATATCGCTAGGGATTGACCGTTTTCAGGGGCTTTTTACTCCTACCGCTTCTGACCGGGTCAGATTGCGCGGTGGGTGATACGTGGAGACGTGCTCTTTACCGACCGGGACCGAGCTCATCATCTGTAGGATGGAAGGACGCTTGAGGGGTTCAGTTGCGAAGGGGTCAGAAATTAGTGCGAAGGGGTCAGAGAGCTCCTGACACCGGATGAGCTATTCTGACAGAGTACGAGCTATCTTAATACTTAATTATCAAATCTAACTACATTTTTTAAGATTTTAGGGTATTCTTTAGGGTAACTAGGGTATTTAGGGTATTAGGGATTTTTAGGGATTTTTTTTTATAATTTTTAAGTATGATTTTTAATCACGTGTAGAGCTGATCCAGTGTCAGGATTTATATCACGTGTAGAACTGATTCAGTGTCTGACTTAAAAATATCAGGTGATTGAGCTCATCCAGTGTTAGGAATTCTCTGAAGCTGTCCGAGCTGTTTTTCCGGTACCGGTCTGACCCTGTCGCACTAATTTCTGACCCCCTCGGAGCTGCATCCCCGGACGCTTGGAATAGAGGTTGTTTCCAATCACCTGACTAATCCCGCTTTTCCTCTTCAAAATACCAGTGCTAGGGGTAGGTTCGCGACTGGCGCGCTTCCATCGCATCACATGGCGAGGCAAGCTCCATGGCTGACCAATGTTAGTGGGTCCGCATCAGCTTTAGCATCATATTAATCTTCAACAGAGCTTCCCTGGGATGTTGCAAATACACCGAGTGTCAAATGTGGGCAAGGATTGAGTGGCCTGTCCATACACAATATATCAAGGGACTCTCATTGACTTTTCGACGCTTCTGGCTCTAGTCAATACTCGATTTCATGGTAGAGAAGGTCATAAGCAATAACAATGACTTCTTTAAGCAAAGACACCAGAGTAACTAGTCTCTCTGGTGAAGAACAGCATCAGACAGAGCTTCGCGCCGAGGATTTGAAACGTTCACAGAGAACTTCTCAGTCCTCTGGAAACCTCAGAGATTATGATTGGGATCGACTGCAGGAAGAGTACATTGGTTCCATGGAAAAGCATGAACAAGATGAACAAGAATTACGCAGCCATGTCTCCAAATTGCTAAAGGTGCCTTGCAATGATGTCTGGTCTCGTTGTTATTATCTAATGACTCCTGTTTAGATCTTTATGGCTTGGTCTGAGACCACTATCGCGCGCGATGAGATCAGGGCGCTCAAAAGGTTCATCCTTACTGCTTCGACGGTCTTAAATGCAGAGACTAACACAGTGATAGATTTAAAACACAAATGCAACATGTTCAGACATCTGAAGAGAGCCTGGAGCTGAAACGCAAACATTGTATGCAAAACAATATCATTTTTCTACCCGACATGTTCACTCTTACTGACAGTAGTTTAGACGTGGATGTGGTCAAGGCATTCGAAAGTGCCCTCGCGCTTTTAAACGACCGCATAAAATCCTGATCTTGTGTAGCTAGGCGGGATTGTTTAAGGATCGAGTGCCACCCTTTCATCGTACTAAGTCTGCAAAGTGGATGAATAACAAATACATAAGAGATCCCATAATTGGCATAGCAATTAACGCAATGAATATGTTCTAGACATAGACTTTGGCTGCCACGAGTTGGACAACCAGTTGCAATTGGTATGGCACTAGGAAGTCCAAATAACCTCTTTCCTACCCTCCCTTGTGCTCTAGGTAGCCACTGATGCCGAGTCAGATGACATCAACGCGTCGCCCAGCATTGGTCAGGAGACCTTCCTCCTCGGCCTCCTCGGCCTCCTGGTCAAGTAGGCGTTCATCAAGTTTCGGGTGGCGGCTGAGAGAGGTGATAAAGACAAGTAGGTAGATGCCTGGTTAGGATATTCCCCATTAACGATCGACTACGCATGACTGGAATCGACGGTGCTTACCAAGGAAGACAAATTGGGACCAGAAAAATACGGTACCGAAGAAGGGATAGCTAATTGTCACACGGTTGAGAAACGTGCTGGTGACGCTGGGTGTGCAGACTTGCTTCGCAGCCACATTGTCTGCCGAGTCCGAGCAGGGCTTGACGAGATGCCTGCTGTTCAAGCACTCTGGCTGCTTTCCGAACGAACTAGGGGAGCGATCGCAAAATGTCTGTGGCCCAAAAGTTGCGTATTGAGGTGCCACAAGCATGGGTATCGAATAATCCAATGCTAGTATAGTTAACATCAACATGGCAGTTGTCAATAAAAGGGCTTGTGGCGATGTGTGTCCCTGTCTGACCCGAAATATTCTAACCCAGAGGAAGCGAATTCCGATGGTAGATATTCCAATAACTGAACTGCCAAACAGCAGTAAGACTAGCATAGTGAAAATGAGGTAGTCAACCGGGAATACTTTAGCGGACTGAACAAAGGCCCAGTCGAGAGGATTAAAGACATTTATATGACCGAGTACATATCCGCAGCGTTGCTTGCAGAATGAATTTCTGGCTTTGTCGATTGCCGTCAGGAGCATCGATATCCATATCATGAGCGCAATCAATAAAAGGGCGATGCCGCCCAAGAGCTTGAATGGACGAAAGAAAGCTGTGACCATCAGCCACGTCCTCATCAAGCGGCTTCGAACTTCATCGCCAGCTTCCTCTGCCAAACGCTGCCGCCTGATAAGTGTCCTTTCGTCCCGAACGAGGGTATCTAGCTCTCTACGTTCTTTAGAAGAGAGGAGGGCAGGATCCCCTCGACAGCGACCTTCCAACTGGCGCTGACGCTCTCGGTTGGCTTCGAGCTGTGCAGCCGTCGTCGCTTTCCAAGTCATATTCGAAACGGACGGAGCTACCCGTATCATCCTCATGGGCAGAAGAGCAAGACCAGTAGAGGTATATAGAACATAGAGAAACAGGCCCAATGTGATCAGTATTCCAAGGGTAAATGCAAGAACCCTATCGCCACCTAGAAAGAGATCAATTAGCAACTCAGCGCACTCCATTACTATTCTGGAATAAGATGTTTAGATGAGCATGAATGGGTGGATTCGCTGGAGGGAGGATATAGGCCGGGGTCTTACGATTCTCAGATAACGGCTTCCTGAGAAAGTCCGAATCCTTGCTGTCCTTAGCAGTTGAAACAGGCACAAGAAAGCCAACAATGAGTAGCACTACCACTATTCCAAAAAACGAGAGGGTATACTTGAACGCAGTCCAGAGTCGTTTCGCTGCAGGTTGCCCGCCCGTTTCCACGGCCACCTCATCGTATTCTTCGTACCAAAAGTACACAAATGGAATTGCGAGAAGGCATAGGAAAGCGTCCAGGGAGTATAGGAGGTAGTATACAACCGTCAATAAAGAAACAATCTTATCTACTTCCTCCTGAGTGGCCCATGCTTTCCTCTGGCCAAGCATGGGCGATGTTGTAGAAGAGATGAGAGCAACATCCACGGGCAGCAAAAGAACGGTGGCAAGCAGACTTGTGATTGCAATTATACACGTGAAGGTAACAGCCGACGAGCGATCTCGAGGTGTCTGATAGGTATAGATGAAGACCGAGGCTACCATTACCAGCACGGCTACCACAATCGCATATATTGCCCATATAAGGGATGTTTGTAGAAGGGCCATTTTGGAGAGAGGGAGAGATAGAGATAGAGAGAGGTGGTGGGGGGGGGAGGGGGGAGGGGGAGAAAGAGAGAAAGAGAGTATGGCCCCTCGTCCTTACACAAGGCGAAGACAGTACGTCTGGAATGATTTGAGCGTGGGTATGAACCGTCAAGATTCCAGATCAAGCAAGCCCTTCACATAAGTAGAAGATGGTGTACGAGACAAGTCCTATTCTGTCAAGCCACATTCATACCCGGATCTCCAGGAACAGGCATGTTTAGGTTGTTGGGATTTATGACATCCCGTTCGATGTCACAAAAAGTCCGCATGTCTTACGTCATCGCCTGGCTGGTCCGCTGGCCAACAGACAGTCACGTGCCACATTGAACTTCACATCCAGACCCGGCGTTTGGAACCCCATTCCTGTTCCAGTTGGGAATGTTTTGAAGCTTCAGTGAGGTTATCATATCTTTTGTCCCATCTTCTCAATTGTCAGGCCCCCCAACCGCCTTCCTTCAACGGAGCCTTTACTTCATCACGTCTTTTTTTTTTCCTGGCAATGCTGCCTTCCGCGCAGGGCAGTTGAGTAATTTGGGTTTGATGACGGGGAGAGCTTGACCCTCCAAGCAAAGCATTTTTCGGGCTTGCCAGACTTACAATGCAGTGCTATACTGAGTTGATGCCCCCAACCGGGGTCACTCAAGCCTTGGCAGTTCCTTTTCTCGCGGCAAACGCCAATAATTTGCTTGTTGTTAAAACATCCCTGCTCCAGATATATTCCCTGCATAAAGTTGCCTCTCAAGCAGAAGGAACCGAGGCACATCAGGAAACGACGAAGCTCCTTTTGGAAAAAGAGTATTCTCTCTCTGGGACAGTAACTGGCCTATGCCGGGTCAGAGTTCTAAACAGCAAGAGCGGCGGAGAGGCTGTTCTTCTTGCTTTTCGGAATGCCAAACTTAGCCTGATTGAATGGGACCCGGAGCGCCGGGACATCGCCACCATATCCATCCATTATTATGAGCGAGATGATCTGACCCGTAGTCCATGGGTTCCTGACTTGAAAAACTGTGGCAGCATCCTCAGTGTGGACCCAAGCAGTAGATGTGCGATCTTCAACTTTGGAATTCGAAATCTCGCCATTATCCCCTTCCATCAGCCAGGAGATGACTTGGTGATGGATGAATATGAGTCTGATTTCGGGGAGGGAACATCAGCCGACCGTGACGGTGTCGATAAGGCCAAAGAGGGCATTGCGTATCAGACTCCGTATGCCCCATCATTTGTCTTGTCCTTGACAGCATTGGACCCTTCTATACTTCACCCGATAAGCCTCGCTTTCCTATATGAATACAGGGAGCCAACCTTTGGCATTTTATACTCGCAAGTTGCAACATCAACTGCTCTTCTACCGGAAAGAAAAGACGTCGTTTCCTATACCGTGTTTACGCTAGATCTGGAGCAGCGAGCTTCTACGACATTACTCTCGGTGTCGAGGCTGCCCAGCGACCTTTTTAGGGTGGTGGCCCTTCCACCTCCTGTCGGCGGTGCTCTGTTAATTGGGTCCAATGAATTGGTGCATGTTGATCAGGCGGGCAAAACCAATGCGGTTGGAGTCAATGAATTTTCCAGACAAGTTTCATCATTTTCTATGACTGATCAGTCTGATTTGGCATTGCGCCTTGAGAATTGTATTGTCGAGTGTCTCGGGGATAGCAGCGGAGACCTGCTTTTGGTACTTTCTACAGGAAATATGGCCATCGTGAGATTCAACTTAGATGGGAGGTCAGTCTCCGGAATTTCAGTCCACTTGCTGCCGGCCCACGTCGGCGTTACCGCAATGGATTCCGCAGCAATAGCTTCGGCCTTTGTCAGTGAAGGAAGAATCTTCCTCGGAAGTGAAGATGGCGATTCGGTGCTTTTGGGCTGCTCATACTCATCCTCAAGCATGAAAAAGCATCGTATGCAGATCAGGCAAGCTACGGATGACCGTGCAGATATCTCGGATGAGGATCAGAGCGAGGGCGACGCTTATGAAGATGATCTCTATTCCACGTCCCCGGCGACAGCACTGAGTGGCCGCCGTTCATCAGCAGAGTCAACCGCACTCGGGTTGCATCATTTCAGAATTCACGATAGACTTATCAATATTGGCCCTTTGAGGGACATAACACTGGGCAGGAGACCATCCGCAAATCAAGAAACGAGAGGCGACCGTACCAGTGGTACCTCTTCGGAGCTGCAGATAGTAGCTTCCCAAGGCTCTGACAGAAGTGGGGGGTTGGTAGTAATGACCCGTGAGGTCGATCCCCATGTTGTCGCCTCTATGACAATTGAGTCAGTCGACTGTCTCTATACGGCTTCTTTAGCTCAGGAGGAAACAGCGGTGTCCGAATCTACTGAGGTTGGACAGCAATCCCAGCAACAACGATGCTACGTTATCGCATCGAGAACAAAAGGTCCAGATAAAGAAGAGTCACTCGTCTTTGTAGTGGATGGTCATGACCTCAAACCTTTTAGAGCTCCAGAATTCAATCCCAACGAGGATGTAACTATTGACATCGGGACGCAGACAAGCAGGAAACGCGTGGTCCAAGTCTTGAAGAATGAGGTACGAAGTTATGACAGTGGTGAGTTTCGATCCTGAACTGCTGGTGGAGTGACTTGTGTTAATAGAGCAGACCTGGGCTTGGCTCAAATCTATCCGATATGGGACGATGACACCAACGATGAACGGATGGCTGTTAGTGCCAGTTTGGCCGATCCTTTCCTTGCTATTCTACGAGACGATTCCACGCTATTGCTCCTTCAAACGGACGACAGTGGTGATCTCGATGAAGTAGAGCTTGGTGAGGATATAGCATCCGGGAAATGGTTATCCTGCTGCTTGTACAGCGACAAAAGTGGGGTTTTCTCTTCCATCTATCCATCACCAAACGAATCGGTTGGAGGCGATATGTTCCTATTCCTACTGAGTCTCGATTGCAAGTTCTTTGTAAGCTTTAAAAGCCCGTGAGGAGAGGGAGCTTCGCCCTGCTTTCCTTTGACCTTCCCATGATTGCCTACTCACCAATCAATCAGGTTTATCGCCTCCCCGATCAAAAATTGATGTCAGTAATCGAAGGGGTTGATGGCCTGTCGCCCGTGTTGTCTAGCGAGCCCCCAAAGCGGCCAGGGACACGGGAGAATTTGATAGAGGCTGTCGTTGCTGACCTTGGAGATGCTTGGAGCGCTTCGCCTTATTTAATTGTACGTGTTATGCTGTTCACTGCCAGCCAGGCTTGACGTGCTGATGGAGGCGTATGATATGATAGTTACGATCCGAGAACGATGACCTAATAATCTACAAGCCGTTCGTGGTTTCTGCCGGCCCAGGGAGAGGTGTTCCCGGCCTTAGGTTCTCCAAAGAGACCAACAATACGCTGCCAAAGATCTCTCCTCGTGTCGGCTCAAAGCAGTCGAATAATGCAGAACAAAGAGTCAAGCCGTTGCGCGTACTGCCCAATGTCTCGGGGCTCAGCACCATATTCATGCCTGGTGCTTCGGCAGGCTTCGTTATCAGGACGTCTGCGAGTGTGCCGCACTTTTTACGCTTAAGAGGGGAGGATACGCGGAGCTTGAGCAGCTTGAATACCCTTGAATGCGGTAAGGGATTTATTCATTTAGATTCGCAGGTATGCAATTATGGGTGGTTTTTGAAAAAGGCATGCTAAAGCACGATATAGAATACTGCTCGCTTCTGCCAATTGCCGCCCGAAACACGATATGACTATCAGTGGACATTGCAAAAGGTGCCTCTAGGGGAACAAGTCGACCATTTAGCCTATTCTGCCTCGTCGGGAACGTACGTTCTGGGGACGTGTCATGCAACTGATTTCAGATTACCTGAGGATGACGAGTTACACCCTGAATGGCGCAACGAAGGTTTGTCTTCTACCTATCAGTTTAAAGATCGTGCTGAGACTCTCTAGCTGTTTCCTTTCTACCATCTGGGCGTGGAAGCTCTATAAAGCTCATCAGCCCCAAGACGTGGTCTATCATCGACAGGTACGATGTCGCCATATACTGTGATAGGCTCGGGTATGTCTAACTTTTCACTTTATAGCTATTCCCTTGATGCAGACGAATACGTCATGGCCGTCAAGAACATTAGTCTCGAAGTATCCGAAAATACACATGAGCGCAAAGATATGATCGTTGTGGGGACAGCCTTTGTTCGGGGTGAAGATATACCTTCACGCGGCTGCATATATGTCTTCGAGGTCGTCAAGGTGGTTCCGGATCCTGATGACCCTGAGACAGATCGTAAGTTAAAGCTCATCGGCAAAGAACCAGTAAAGGGTGCCGTGACCGCACTATCCGAAATTGGTGGCCAGGGCTTCGTTCTTGTTGCACAAGGGCAAAAGTGCATGGTCAGAGGCCTCAAGGAGGATGGCAGCCTTCTTCCGGTTGCTTTCATGGACATGCAATGTTATGTCAGCGTGGCAAAAGAGCTCAAAGGCACTGGAATGTGCATTCTCGGCGATGCTGTGAAGGGGATCTGGTTTGCAGGCTATTCGGTATCATCCCCACGCTTAAAACCATGAGCCCAGCATAAGTGTGCCATGCTAACGATATATACCCTACAGGAGGAGCCATACAAAATGAGCCTTTTCGCCAAAGACCTAGACTACCTCGAAGTATCTGCCGCCGAATTCCTTCCCGATGGCAAAAGACTGTTCATTGTTGTGGCTGATAGTGATTGCAATATTCACATTTTGCAGTATGACCCTGAGGGTGAGTCTGCTGACCAGAGAACTTCCTCTGTGGCTCCGCTAATCGGAAACAGACCCCAAATCCTCGAATGGTGACAGGCTACTAAGCCGCAGTAAATTCCATACGGGCAATTTCGCTTCGACATTGACCCTTTTGCCACGTACAATGGTCTCTTCTGAGAGGGTGATTTTTGATTCAGACGAAATGGACTTGGACAGCCAAAGCGCCCTCTACCAGGCCCTGATGACAACACAGAACGGTTCCCTTGGCTTGATTACATGCATTCCAGAGGAATCCTACCGAAGATTGTCCGCTTTGCAGTCTCAGCTGACAAATACACTGGAGCACCCGTGCGGTCTTAACCCCCGGGCTTTTCGGGCTGTGGAGAGCGATGGTACAGCTGGAAGGGGCATGCTTGATGGGAATCTTCTGTTCAAGTGGATAAATATGAGCAAGCAACGCAAAACAGAGATAGCCGGACGGGTAGGTGCACATGAATGGGAAATCAAGGCCGACCTGGAGGCGATCAGTGGAGATGGGCTTGGCTATCTCTGATCGGCATCAACCCCTGGAGTGCTGGCTCGGGTACCGACTACACTCGATCAGCCCGATTCATATTTCGATGTCTCAAGGGGAAATGGACGAAAGGATCTTGCTGCCCTGGGTTAGGTTACTAGACCGAAACTAACTGCATGCTATTCGAGAAATCATGGCATGTCAAATTATACGGACTGGTCCCATGTGTGCTCGCATTCTTTTTCCGCGACCATGATTGTTACATTCCTGTATTTCTCACATGAACCAGAACAGTGTAGAAGGACGCAGGCGCAGCATATCTCAGATATCGACTGATGAAGTCAATGTGTGAAAGCACGTTTTGGTACATGAACATTCCAGACGGCCAGCCAAGTATCAGGTAGATAGCGAAGGTAATTTACCAGACAGAACCCCACTTCAGATATATGCAATCAGAAAAGGGAAAATAAGAAAGAAGGAGGAATAGAAAGAAAGGGATGGGGGGAAACGTAATGAGCAGATGAAAGGAAACCATAAAACAATAATAACGAAAAGGGAATCAAAGCCGGCTTCCTATCCTTGACTCCATCACGCCGCGACCTATCTCCTTGATACGTAGCGCTCGTTTACATAGCCGTACATTCCGATATTCCAGAAAAAAAAGGATGAGTAGAAATAGGAGATGAAAAGTGTGAATGAGGAAGGGAAAAGTGGGAGAGGTGACGGTGACGGTGCCCCCGCCAAATTCGTGACCAGCCTGCCAGGAAGGGCTGGGTATAGAGGACCGAGAGAGGGAAGAATGAGGGGAAGCATCAGGCACAGGTTATGCGATCAGCAGAGAAACAAACGGAGGTGTTGCTGGAGTCTAAGGAACCCGCTCTAAGACTTTCTGCACGTGTATTCGATCATTGTCTGTGACTTCTCAACGTACTCCCCCATCAGAAGACATCTTCTGCAGCAAAGTACCGTTTGCTGCGTCCGCGCGCAGTAACAAATTTCACTTCCGGCAGGTTGGTATGATGCACTACATGCGGTCGATATACGGCGTCAACGGGTGCTTGCCAGTCATCCAGGCCTAAGGGAAAATACTCGTATAGTAGGTCGGCACTCTCATTTGGAAATGGGAGTGTTGAAGCGAAGGGCTGCTGCATGTTGGTGGTATTCAGTAATGGTAATGAAGAGGTGCTTCGCGATGGTGCTTCAGGTAAGCCATGGGACAACTTGCGCATTTTGGTCGGCGGTGCAGAACTTTCCACGTTCAAAATCTTGTGTGATATATCATGTGTATACGAGGACGCTGACTGGGCAGGATCAGCCAGGTTGACCGATTCGTTGCCATCATCATCTTCGAGAAGGGATAAGTTTATGGGAGCGGTTACCGTGGCCGGGTGCCGCGGGACCTCTGGCGGCCGTGAAAACTCCGGACTAGACTGAGAGTATACGCTCGAGTGAGGCAGAGTCGCAGAGGGAATTGCACCACCAACAGGAGGCGGAATATGTGTCCAATCCGGGGAAGCTTGTTGTGCAGCTATACCACCTTGAGAAACGGACGTCTCCGGGGAGCTGCTCTTCACTGTGACTTTGGCCTTAGCCGCCGGTGTTAGGCTTGAATGCGGCGTAGTGTCGTTGGCTGGAGTCCGGTTGACAGAGCCTGAGTGAGCGGCTTGCGCATTCTTCCGCGATGCAGCAGCGCTGCCACTCAAAGGCAGGTCCTTGCGAGACTGGAAGTTGCGGGGACTCCGTCCCCGGACTATTACGGGTCCTGACTGTACCTCGCAGATGGGTATCTTAGCACCAGTGGACAACGTGGCGACAACCTTTAGGCGAATGACGAAGTGCTGCTGAAGCTCTTTGCGACGTCCGTTATTGGCGGTAGCAACGCGGAATTGAAGCCGCTTCCATGCGATGGGGAAGGTGGCATAGTCGGTGTCGAGGTCCTGTCCAGCCATAATATCCAACGGAATCGGAGGGGGCTCTTTTTCAACTTTAACAGTAGTGTTGTTGTGGGTATTGCCGCCGCCCCCGTTACTAGCATTGTTTCCATCTTCAGCCGCAGGATTTATATTCGCGGCGGGGGTCTTCCAAGGAACCGAGATGATCTTAACCGGATTGCCTTCGACAGATTCGGTGGCAGACACGGTGAGCTCTTGCGCCAGAATAGGGATCCGATCGCCTTGTTCCGTCATTAAGTAGCGTAGGCTTCGTGGAAGGGTGACTGAGCCAGTAATCTGGAACAGATTCCGGCGGTAGCACGTCAGCTCCGCTCCTTGTTGAGGCGGGGCATTTTCTGTAGGGGATGTGGTCCAAGGTGACTCCGCAAGAAAAAACATGCCATGCAGCTGAGCCGAGAGCGATATTGATGTGCGCCGTAGTGAGTAATCAAGCAGCGTAAACCCGTACGCAGGCATTGAGAAGCTCAGCAATTTATTGTTGTGATCGATAGACGAGTCAGGGGGCTGCTCGGGGGGCGCAGGTTCGAATGGGGCGACAATGTCCGTGAAGGGGTCTTCATAGCCAGGAGGGAACCGTTTCAACGATGACGAAGGTAAAGCATGCTGAGGGAAAGATATATCGTCGCCACTAACCCGGTGCCATGTCAGACGCGAACAAGAATGGGACAGCCTCAAGAAACTCACCTAACAAAAGTTTCGGAGTCAAATGTGGAACGTTGGTCTGGAAGATCCATGCCGGACATTGAATTGAGGTAATCGGCGCTTTGTATATTACCGAGCGACAGCGGGCTGGCCAGGTAAGGCATAGCCATAGTATCGAAGCCCTCCATGGCGGGGGCTAGACACGAGCGGTGCAAGATTTCAGGTGACGGTTCTTCAAATAGCAAAAAGCATGAAGGAATATACCTGGATAATTGAACAATGTGGGAAGGTGGGAGTAGAAGTTAACAGAAAGGCCGAAGAAGAAGGAAATAGACCAGGATGAATCGGTTCCGGCGAAGATGGGGACTGTGGTCGCAACGAGTGCGGAGGACGCGGGAGGAGCTAAAGAGGGGAGTACATGGATTGGAGAGGGGGGAATGCTCCGCCCAACCAAAGGAAACGAACCGGAGATGACTGGCGGGGTGAGGAAGATGAAATAGGACCTAGCCAAGGGGCAATGATGAAAAGATGGAAGGGACCAGGAAGGTACCAGGGAGGGCAAGAGAAGCAGCAGGAGTTGTAGTAGTTGTACGGAATAGTGGTGGTAATAGTGATAGCAGGAGCAAGCAGCAGCAACCGCCGCCTTGAGTGGATCGGATTCGCCCGAAGTCAGTGCATGGAGACTGCTCTGGTTGGTGGAGGCGGGGCGATTCGTCAAGGAAAAGAGTGTCCAACTCCAAAGACTCCAAACGATCACTGGGTGGTACACTAGACAAGATCCGGAGCGAGCCTAGGGTGGATGGAACAAGTGGATAGGGGATTATGAGAGAGGAGATAAGAGGAGGCCAGGCAGACGGACCCGGCGATGGGGCCGCAGCAAGAGCCAGCAGGAGAGGGGCGGATGGTGGAGAAGGAGAACTACTACGGAGTACTAGAGACTAAAAGAGAAAAAGAGAGAGAGGGAGAGGAAGGAGGAGGGGAGACCGGGAGGGGGAGGGAGGACGGAGCAGCGACCTGAGGAATCAGGAAAGGGCGACCGACCGACCGACCGACCGACTGAGAGAGGCCAGAACGGTTCGACTGTTCGAGGACCCTTTGGTTTTGGTTCTTTCTCTGCATGGAGTTTAGCTTGAAGAAAAATTACTATGGTGTTAACGAATGAAGGAACCCCGTTAACTAACAGTTGACAACTGACAAGATACTTGACTGATGCGCTCGACGGATGTGGATCACCCCCCAGGTCGGTAGCCCATTGGGATATCCAATTCATCCTTTTGCGGAGAGGCATCCTGACGGACTGAGTCAAGACGACTCCGACCGAAGACGGGAGATCCTGCCAGACTGCAAATGGGGTTCCGGATTAGGAACCAGCAACATTAAATCCATCCATCAAAGACTCTATTCCATTCCCTCTCCTCTAAAATGGGAAGCTTAAATCTTTTTCTCTGTCTTTTTCTTTTCTTTTTTACTGTTTCTTTCATTCCTAGGGAGTACTATCATATCATCATTTGATATCATCATTTGACTATTTTAACCCTTAAATCTTCTCTTGTCTTACTTTCCTTTTATTCTTATTATAGATCGTGTTATCTGCTCATGTCGTTTCTCAGCTCCTGAAATTCTAGAGAGGAAATTATCAAGAGCCTACAATATATGCAAGGAAGGAAGAATATACTCTGATACCTGTAGCAGAATCAAACAAAAATATGTTAACAATGAAGCAAACAAGGTCAATTGATACCGGGGATAATACCATGCCTATATATCTTATCTGCATAACCTTGGGGTTCCATAGTACATATGTACTACTAATATGCCGTACAATAGCTTCTATCTACCGAGTACCACCAGCATCAACCGACCGCATAGGCTCGAGATAGGTCACGTGTTCGGTACCTGGGCAATGGTACAAGCATCTCGGGTGATAGCTGTACTAGTACCATGTACTATATATGTATTATGTACGTCAATATTGAATAGATTAGTGACTGGGGCTGTTCAGGACCTGCCAGGTCAGGAGGTGCTCGCCAGTTAGTAAGTTCTGGTTGCGTGTAGCCGTTGGGTAAACCCCTGGGCAATACTAAGTAAGTACTCCGTAACTGGTAGCAAGACCCACTAAAACCCGGGGAATAGCTGATAAAGTTACTGCTCTATAGGTTAGTCTAGTGGGTAGTTCTGCTCTGCACCATAGGACAAATCTCATACCAGGCCCACCTAAGCTTGCTGTCTTCAGGATAATCCATATACTTATCAAACTCCAGAGCTACGTTGAGCTCAAGAAGGAAGGACCCTAGAGTAACACAAGGAAGAATGTTAAAAAGAAAAAGAAATAAGGGGGTTGAGGCAGGTTGAAAGAGATGAAAGAATATAAAAAGGCAATAATATAAATATATAAACATCAATATAACATAAAGACCTGTTTTTTAGATGGGGCTCAAACTTTCCCGTCTAACATCGGCCAGGAGAAACCGTTCCTTATATATCTTGAAAATAGGCATTCAAAGGTCGATATTCCGCACAACACAAAGAACAAAGTGGATTCATCTTGCAAACAAATACTGTATGGTGGTAGCAGTGCTGGAAAACTGAAAGTATCCAACAGACTCTAACCACTTGCAGCCGATCCCATCCATACCTCTTCAGAGTTAGTTATTGAACATCTTACGGAAATCAAGTAGTGTTTATAGTTTTGATTCTCTGTAGACTCCTGTATCGACTACATATATATTCCCAAAGCCTAATATTAAGCAAGGTACACCGGTGTCAGGAGCGCTGAAGGCGAGGACGAGGCAGGCGGAAGGGTGACTCAAGTGGCCCAAAGTGGGAGGATGATGACTGGCCGAGATATAACTGACCGACATGAAGGATAGATAGGTGGATCCTTTGTCAGGCTCCATTTTATCGGTGGTTGTCTCAATAGTTTTCTGCCCGTCGAACAACTGCAAAAATGTAGATGCTTTACGTTCCGAAGCTCAGACAGCACACAGAGTATACTAGTATTCCGCTTCGGAAATTTGTTCAATCATCTCTTGTCGCGCAGAACGTGACACTGTTTCTTTGCAAATATTATTGGCTGCCTTTCTGCGGGGTGATTCAAGCCGATTTGCAGACCTGAGCTGACCAGAACTTGGAGGCAATAGTTAATTACTACTTGTATGGAGTAACGACTACGGCTATCTCCGCATGCGGTCAATTACCTTATCACCATCATCAGGGTCTACCTACCTGCCCACTAGACGAATGCATCCAGGCACTTAAGATACTTCAAGTTGCCTAGGCACTGACTACCTCTCAGCTGAGAGGTGGGGCCACGCCGTCATCCTTTCTTTGCCCTGGTCTAGGTATCTCCTTCTATCCACTAGTAGATATGTATCAGATACTGGTACAGAGTAGTGGTGGCCACCACCGGGGGGAAAGGGAGGGGCCAGGAGACAGCTGGCAAGAATGATTGGCTCTGATTAAAGGGTATGTCTCAGTCACTGGGACGAAGCCGGATTAGCCGCGCCTGAAGGTTGGTCCGCATTTTGCCGTCTTCGAACCGGAGCTGAAGCTGACCATTGTAATAACCACTGTGTAATTTGACCTAACTGGAGGCGGTTAGTTCAATTAGATCAAGTATGCAGCCTACTCTTAGTTAGGCTCCGGGTGTGGATCCCTCAACTCTCAAGCACTCGTAAGTAGTAGGCAGTACGGAGTACTACACAGTACTTCGACAGTTGGATGACCACTTCAGTTCTCCGTACTTCAGTCATTACTATTATACGATTGTACCAGGCAATTGCGATGGCTCAACGATGTGGGCTTACACCAATAAGCGAAGGTCACCCGTTTTGGTTTGAGAGCGGAAGGCAGCATTATCACGCACGATGCACCTGTATGTACAGAGTATACATCTTGAACAGGAGCAGATTAATAGTATGTGCGCGTGATGTATTCAAAGACTGCGTGAAGTGTAAGTAGGGCGCGAAGCCTCCATCCATGTCCATCAAGCTCCTCATATAGTATGCTAGTACTCGGAAACGTGGGAGGGTTCCCGATCGAATTAGTATATATTTTCGATGAATGCTATACTGACCCCTGGAAGCCAGAACATGATCGCTATCTATACGCCGTTCTTTCGCTCCGGGCCTGCGGCCTGAACCAGAACACCACGGCCCACCAGTGTGACAGGATCACAAGCCAGTCTGTGGGACCGAGTGGGAAGTCAAATTTCTCCTCTCAGGCGGCTTGGCACCAGCCTTACACCGGCCAGTGTATCCGCTGGGTCTAGACTTTGCCTCTGACTGGGCAGTCTTAGCATCCCGTGTTGATGGGTATACCCCATGCTGGCTGCAGCCTGGTGAGTCTGCCGATAGAGGGGGAGCTCCATTCAACCTGATGTCGACGGACTGGTACGCTGTCGTCATTTCAACATCGCCTCGAGCTTTAATTAGGCGGGGGGTGCAAACGGAAGCCGGACGGGAATGACTGGGCTCTACCTTACCGCAACCGGAGGGAAAGAAGGAGAGGGGAGGGGGTGGCCAACCAACCTGAGCCGATGGGACCCTCTCCCCTCCATGCGTGGGGCTACTAGCAAGTCATCCGCAATCGAGATTCCTCCTGGATGGAAGAAAGAGTACGGAGTAGGTAGTACTATCTAGAAGATTTAGCTCGTACCTTGAAGTTGAGGGCCACCCGATCCACGGAGATCGCCCCTTCTGTTGGCCTGACCAAGTTTGGCCCCGATGTCCGAAAGCAGCAGCACGGATTCGATCGCTGTTCTTTCCCTCTCCCCCGTCCGGTTTCCCTTTGACATCCAAAACTCTCTTTTCCTCCCCTTGCCATTTATCGGTGCCATGGAGGATCTCAGCGGTAGCGGATAGCGCGGATTTCGGTAGTCCACCGTTTCCCCTCACGGGTGGTGTGGCCTTCTTGACTTCGTCAATTTCCTATCTCATAAAGTGTGCAAGCTGATAAGAGGATCCAATGATCAATGCACTGACTGAACTAGAATGCCTCTTTCCTTCAATGAAGAGTCTAGAACCGGCCCTGAGCACGCCAACTGGTTCGAGGCCTGCCGCTCCGTAACGTTTTCAATATCGATGCCAATGCTTCGCAAAAATTCTCCCGGCCAGCTCTCCACTGCAAGAGAAGTTCCGCATCGGCGCTACTGCGTGGATCATCCGAACATCGATCGGCTTACTTTGCGAGGCATGCCTCTTTAGCTACTGCTCGGGCGGCATCCTATCCGGTGCATATCGCTTTCGAAGTACTCGGTTTAACCCTACGCCGCAGTGGCGGTTCATCTCATACTACTAATTAGTCACAGAGTCATATTCATATCAGTGGGTTGGCAACGCTAGCAAAGGAGGTATCTAAAAAGACAGAAAGTAGGGAATGGGAATGAGGTAAGAAGACAAGTCATGAGAAAAGTGCAATTATATAGTGGATACCGTATGTACGATGCTGGAAAGCCCAGCAAGATCACATACACGGATGGAGGCAACGGACGAATCGAATATGGATGGTAAGAGGAAGATGAGCGTGGCACAGAAGAGCGGGGTCGGTTAAGATGAAGGCATCATGGTCCATGACACCGCATCACAATTGACCTCCTCGAAGCTATGCAAAGTGCCAAAGCCCAGACCTGACAAACAGTTGAAATTACTATCGCTGTCGACCTAGACCCAGCTTGTTAGTATGACGGGCCTCGCCGCATATAAGCGAATGAAGGGCAACTCACACAATCCATGATTACAGCCTCGGCGCCGTTCTTACGGACTTGCTTGATCCCTAGCAGAACCAATCCTTGCATGACCGTGGCATACGCGCCGACAGAAGGGGAGATGACGGGAGAAGAGATGCCTCCTGTTGAGACCTGGGTGGATCTCAAAGCGGGCATATGTTCTGCCAAAGTCGATCGTCCGTTGTATATGACTACGCTCCCTAGAATAGCCCCGTCACTAGGCCGTATGGCCCGAATAATTCCACAATGAGGTGCCCCTCCTAGGGCAACCTTGTAGATATCTATCACACCTTGTCTTGAATTCGTCTTAATGTGGTCAAGGATGGAATCAGCGTAACCCCATCCGTAAACAAGGTCGTAGGCCACGTCCGCGTTCTGGAGCCCATGGATCAGTCCGTCGGGAGGCGACCAAGTGGGCAAGTTGCGCAACACCAGGCTGCAAACGGGCCGTGAAAGGGCGGTATTCCAGCCCAGGTTTGCAAACCATTGTCGCAGCCTCTTCCGCTCTACCGAGTTCGCTGACGGGATGCCCAAGTAGATCCCTGGCAGTCGAGATCCAAGCTGGAATCTTTTCATCACGTTTCGTTGAAGAAGGGTTCGAATGGCGCGGTCGTGGAGTGAATTCCCAATCGACAACTTTCGCCTCGCAGGATGGACAATCAAAGATCCAATGACACCGGTGCCTGTGGACCGAAAGAAGTATGTGGAACAAAATCCATATAGTGCTTGTGTGCTGCTGTTCCGAACGACAAAATGCGCTTCGTCAATTTCCTCCCGTCGAAGCAGAAAGCTACTCGACGTTACACCTAACAACTCCGAACGTTGTCCCTGAGCACAATCCCCTCTGACCGCGTCCAAAAGTGAATCGAGAGCATGCGCATCCCTCTCCTCATTCCAGTTCTCCACCAGCCAGTGCTGTCTCGCTTGGTGAAGCTTTTGACTGCGGCTGATAGAACCTGGCAGTGAGCCGATGGGGTTGAGTTCCCCGTAAAGCACTTTAACGAGGGCCTCCAGAGCGGTCTCAGTAAAATCATATGTGCAGACATATGTTCCGATAGACGGGTCCATGGCGAAGTCGTATGGGGAACTGGCCGCGACAACAACCAGGGGCTTCTCGCAAGCTTCACCGGCTGGGGTAAATTGTGATCTGCAGATCATGGAGACGTGTTTAGTAAAACCATGCTGATACAGGTTCCTGTTAGCATCTGCGGTAACAATAATGACTGCACTGGCCCGGTCAATGAGACTTTCATGGATTGGGCGGACGCCATTAGCAGTGTAGGATGTGTGTAGAACACGGCCACTCCTCTGGCGTGACAGAGACCTTCCGAGCTCCTTGAACACACTTTCGCCACTTAACACCGAGGCTGCCCGATCCCATGCTTTTGGATCGAGAGACACATTCGAGTGCTCACTCACTGAGCGGGATACGGCAGAAGCAGGGAGTGGTTTAACCAACGGAGTCAACAGGAGCAGCTCTTCGTTTGACTCCAGGATGTTGGAGAGTGGCAGTAAATTCTTCTTATCCCGCACCACTGAGATGGACCTGTTGTATGCCCTCGTGGAGAGGCTAGTATGAGATGGTTGCATCTGTGTAAGCGAAGGAAGGCCAGGAGGATTGAGGGCCTGCTCCCAGGAGGTACATTTGGCTTTTAGGTTGAGGACTCTGCGTAATGATTGCTCTATGCGCGTTCGACCGATGATTCCGTTCTCCACGCCGAGCTTCAAGCCATTGATCGCCTCTTGCTGCACCTGGAATGATCGGCAGAGGAGTATGATATCACAACCCGCATTCTTTGCCATCACCGTTCCGCCGCCGACGCCAATGTTATGCGTTAGGGCCTCCATCTCCAGGCATTCTGAAACGACTACGCCTTCGAATTTCAAATCCTTCCGTAGCAGATCGTCAACCACCTGCTCGCTTAGACAAGCATGCATGACGTTGACTCCCGCAGAGGACATCGAAACGCCCCCGACCATCATAGAGTCTAACCCATGGACGATGGCATTGCGGAAAGGCACCAATGCGGTTAAACTGAGTTGTTCCAGTGACTCAGTGATGATAGGTACGTCAGACTGAGACCCAAGGAACTCCAAGTTGCCATATGATGGGAAATGCTTGCCACAGGTCACCAAGCCTGCTTTCTGATAGCCCTTCATGAACTCCACGCCATATTGGGACACCTCTTGCGGGTCGTCGCCGGTGGTGCGGACGCCCAAGGGCTGAGTCCGTACGTTTGTCAGCACGTCTAGGACAGGTCCAAGGATCCAGTTGACTCCGACGGCCTTGAGCTCCTGAGCAGTAGCCACTGCGACTTCATGTGCTAGGACTTTTGAGCCCGTCGCGGCTATACCCATGGCGCTAGGATACTGCCGGATGTATATCTCATCATACAGGCTGTTCACGCCTCCGTTTTCTTGATCCAGAGCGATGAGCAGTGGCACCGGGTGGCCAGCATCCCGGGCAATGGTCTGAAGCTCAAGGACAAGTCGCATTGCATCTTCGGCAGCTAGACGTGGATTAGTGGATTGGTACTCAGGACGATAGGAGACACGACTGCAAAGCATCCCTCAGGATAGGAATACGAAGCGATAGAAGGTAAGGTGCGGTGGTACATTTTAAGTTTTTGGCAGAGAGTAGAACCGAGCCTAGATGATAGTTTTCGATCAGAGAGCGGATCTGAGGGCTGACCGAGGTTCCATCGAAGCCCATCATAAACAGCTGCCCCATCTGCCTGTCGGGGATGACATGGCAGCAGCCTAACCGTCAGTCATGGTCAATGGATGGATGGGTGAAGGCTGCAGGGGGGGAAGAGGAAGGAAAGAGAGAAGAGGGAAGGGGGTCGCGGAAACAGGCAGGAATCAGCCGCGGAGGGTAGCTTCCCCGGTGGGTAAGTATGGGATTGGAGCGTGGACGTATTGATAGCGAGGGGAACGAAGGGCGCAAGAAGAACGCCAAGGCTACACTCCTACCTGTCGAGATCCTCCCAGCCAGGCGGCAGCATGTCCTCTTTGGGGGCCATGAGGGCCCGGCGTGGGAAGGAATGTCGCGGGTGCAATAGAAAAGGGAAGGATTTGGGTTAATGTAGGAATAGGAGGAGGTAGTAGATCGGTTGGAGTTGAGTAAGGAGGCAATCGATTGTTTGCAAGCAAGCGTCAAGAAAAGGTGGGTGGACACGCGCCGGGACCGGCAGTTGATACCAAGCTACCCTGGTTACTGGTTACTGGTTAGCTTCCCAGCGTCTGTATCAGATAATATCGGGCGGATCAGGGAAGAGGGACTAATCACCGACTCGGGGCCAGATAGTGGACTACCTAGAATCACGCTTCTCCTGTGTTCAACCGCGGTGATGATAGCAAATGACAGCAAGTGTTCAGAACAAGCGGGTGCACAGCTAGGAAACCTCCCGGGTATCTCCCTATAATAAGCGAGAACGGGTCCTAACGAGGCATCACTCACTAGATCCTAGATACCCACGGAGAACTCACTCCCCGATAGAGTGTAAAGGATTTCTCAATCGTCTTTCTAGACTCTTGAGTATTCCGTAAACATCTTGGCATGGTAAGTAGGGATGTTCAAACATCAACCAACCCTCCGCTGGAAGAACAATCTTCCACCAGAGAGGGATCACGTGGTGTATCCATCATACCGTCAGTGTACCATACCAAAACCGTGACAGACCACTTGAATTTCCGGTATGGTACATACAGTACGGCGGATACTGCACCGGTATGTTTGTACAGTGCTTTACCAGGTGGTCATGGCGACTCCATCCTGATACGAAAAAGGAACCTGGAGGGTTGCATGGGTCTGTGACACACAGGGCTGTTTCCCCGGTTTGCCGCGATGCCCGAATGCAACGGCAGCGCCCGTCACCCGGTATGGTCCAATCGAATTGAGTGGAAGCTCTGGGACGCTGCCCCGTCGGGTTAGACGGCCCCTCAGGCCTATGGGAATCCACCCTCTCGGTCACTCCGTCTTTATCAGCTATCATCACCTGCCTCGGCGTTATACCCTTGGCAAGCTTGATCAAGCATCTTGCCAGCCGATTCGCCCCATGCCACCCCTTTCTGCAACATCACGTTGTCCATGCCGATGATACCATTCGCGACAATAGCTTTTTCCATTTTCCTCGCCTCTGATTGGCGGCCTCGAAGGGTTTTTGCATGACAGTACTATGTACTAGTACTCCCCAAGGACAACAGAAAGCTGCGTCATAGGACAGTAAGTACCCGGTACCTCGTGGGAGTACTACTATTAGGTATTGTGAATATTTCCCTTTGTCTAGTAGTGTCGCACATTCCTTCCTTCCATGCGTGATGAGGATGAGGAAGGCCATCAATCTAAATGCGTGGTTACCTATCTAGGTATATACTCGGTGTAGCATAGCAGCGAGGTTGTCGTCATCACCACGCTGCTTTGACTCGATGCAGATCCCTTGGAAGGGTAATAATCATGGGACTAGTACTATTGAAGTATACAGTACCTGTCTGTTGATGAAGGTCCAACAGTCCACTTCATGTATCATCCTGTCACACTCCACCCGGCCGGTCAATCCAGACCTACGTACTGGCTGTACTGTAACAGAGCCATGGTTGGGATGGAGCCGGATCTAACAGTCATTATTAACCTCCCCGGGCCCTGCTCGATCATTACGCCGCTCTCTCCTCTCTTCACTTCATAATCAACCGCTTCCTCCCCCTCTCGCACATTTCGCATTTCTCACCCTCCATCTTCCATATTTAACATTGCCAAGCGCACGCTCTCCTGAGAAAACCTCCACGGTCCTCGATCCCTTGTATTCCCGATCGCCATATCTCGTCTTATCGCCCTTGATTCTTATCAGTGACGTAGTAGTCTCTGCCCTCTCCCCTCAGAATTTCCTCCACCATGTATGGCGCCCGTGTTTGAGAGCATATTCTGGCCTCATGAGTTTCGACTGACCTTCTTATGTAGGAGAGTGATCATTCGAGAAACCAAGTTCGAAGCCTCCGAATACATTGCGGATTATATCATCCGTATGTCGTCCTCCGTGCTCTAGATTCATTGCTCTTGCATATGTCCCCATTCTGCTTATGAGAAAGGGTTATATGGTATTTGCTAGGCGCATACAGCTACTGACCATACGATCACCTTTTGCTAGGTCGCATCAAGTTATTCAAGCCAACTGAAGATCGGCCTTTTGTGCTGGGGCTCCCAACAGGCAGCAGCCCGGAAATTATCTACAAGACTCTTGTGCGCCGGCACAGGAACGGCGAAATCTCATTCAAAAATGTCGTGACATTTAACATGGTATGTCTACCCTACATAACCTCAGTTTGGGGGAGGATTATTAAGTTGCCTGAGTAATATGTTAATTCAGCCAGGACGAATACGTTGGACTGCCCCGTGATCACCCCGAGTCCTACCACAGCTTTATGTATAAGCACTTTTTCTCCCATGTGGACATTCCGCCCCAGAACATCAACATTCTTGACGGAAATGCACCTGATCTCGCGGCCGAGTGTGCGTCTTTCGAGGCCCGGATTGCTCGGTATGGTGGCATCGAGCTCTTCCTGGGTGGCGTGGGACCAGATGGGCATATCGCCTTTAACGAACCAGGATCCTCCTTGAGCAGTCGCACCCGCGTCAAGACCCTGGCCTATGATACGATCTTGGCCAATTCACGATTCTTCGGAAACAATTTGGATCAGGTGCCACGAAGGTCGCTAACTGTGGGTATCCAAACTATCTTGGATGCTCGCGAAGTCGTTATCGTGGCTACAGGTGCCCACAAGGCCCTTGCTGTGGAGAAGGGTCTTGAAGGTGGTGTTAATCATATGTGGACGCTGTCAGCGCTGCAGCTGCACCCGTATGCCTTGATCGTCTGCGACCGGGATGCAACGCTGGAGCTCAAGGTCAAAACGGTTCGCTACTTCGAATCCATCGAACAATCTGGCACAGATGCACGTACCCAAGGCCCGCCTCTTGTCTACCGACCCAGGACATACGTTCCTGCACCGGTGGGAGTTGGTAAAGTTCACCAGCCACATGCTACTTCCGAAATGGCCCCCCAGAAAACACCTAAAGACCTTCGAATTAACACGGAGCTTCACTCGCTGATGGAAGATGACGAGCTCACGCCGGATAGCATGTCTTCACGGATGGTCGACTCGGCGATTGGTGGGCTGGACTCGACTCTGAAGGGAGATTTGTTTTTTGACCACATGGGCTCGCGGGTCGTCTCGCATTGACTGGGAGAAATGTGGGGTGATTTCCGTGGCCGCTAATTTTCTATGGAACCGAGACAGTATTCACTTGGTTTCGACTTGCTGGTAGATGGAGCTGGCGCTAAGATGATCGTAGCTTGCCTGGCACAGAGATGTCATTTGTTTGGAACGCACTGACCTTTCATCACTGGCATCTGTCTTGCGAAATTGATATCTAGATGTTTTGTCTCTGGTATGCATTGGGAATTATTGCTTATGCGCGGGTCCCGAGAGTTTATAGATCGTTTGCCATGGCGTTAGTTGCTGAACCACCATAGACTGGATTTGGGATAGTATCAATGACGAATAATGCATCATACCTGCAATGATATAAATGCGTGATATGTATGTTGTATATACAAGGACCAGTTCGGCTCGGTATCAAGGAAAGGCCGATTTCTATGTGGTGGATAGCTTGAACCAATGGCCAATAGTAGTTCTCATCCTGAAACTCTGGCGTCCATCCGTGCAAAGAAAAATTGAAAGAAGGAAAGACAGACGGACAGACATATATTTATCGAGTATGTACTTTTATTTGCTTCTTTGCGTAGAATGGGATAAGGAAACACAACCGCACTTCCTCTACAGTTTGGCGAAAACAGTAGCAACGGCGCCGTTCATGTCGACCAAAGTACTCTTGTTCTTCACCCAGGCCTCAATGCCCCGGCGTCCGTTCTCAACACCCACGCCGCTATTCTTCCATCCACCGACAGCCATTTCGGATGGACTCTCACCCCAACTGTTAATCCAAGTGATACCTGCCTGCAACTGGTCGATGATGCGATGGGCCATGTTTATATCCCTGGTGAAGACGCCGGCGGCCAGGCCAAGGTTGGTGGTGTTTGCCCGCTTCACCGCTTCCTCGACCGTCTCATAGGAGAGGATGGACATCACGGGACCGAAGATCTCCTCCTTGACAATGCGCATGTCATCTGTACAGTCTGTGAAGACAGTGGGCCGAACCCAGTATCCATCTTCCAACTCCTTCGGGACTTGCGGCTTGCCTAGCCCACCGTAGAGAAGGGTGGCCTTGTCTGTCTCGATTCCGTGGCGGATGTAGGAAGCCACCTTCTCCATGTGGACGTTCGAGCTTAGCGGACCAAAGTTGGTGGCGTTGTCGAACAGAGGACCGGGGCGGATGTATTGCATCTTCTCCAAGAGTCGCTTCTCAAAAGCCGACTTCATGGTTGCGGGGACAAAGACACGAGTACCATTGGTACAGACCTGGCCGGTGCTGTAGAAGTTGGCCATCATGGCGCCGTCCACCGCATTATCCAGCTCCGCGTCAGGAAGGATGACGAGGGGGCTCTTGCCTCCAAGTTCCATCGTCACGTACTTCATGTTGCCAGCGGCAGAACCGGCGACCTTCATGCCGGTGGACACCTGGCCCGTGAAGGAAACCTTGGCAATGGTCGGATGGGCAGTCAAGTATGCACCGACATCTCCTGCACCGTACACTACATTGAAGACGCCCGCGGGAAGTCCAGCTTCCTTGTAGATCTCGGCCAGCGTCTGAGCATGAAGCGGGGTAAATTCACTGGGCTTGTATACCATGGTGTTTCCAGCAGCCAGACAAGGTGCGGATTTCCAGAGAGCACTGGTTGTACTTTAGTCAAGTCCCAGACCTTCTTGCAGAGGGGCTTACATTTGGATGGGGTAGTTCCATGCGCCGATGCCCACGCAGACACCCAACGGGGCCTTCTTCGTGTATACCCAAGCATCTTCCCTCAGCTGGGTAGTCTCACCATTCAGCCCGCCGCCTCCGACCAGGTTTGCATAATACTCGAGAGAATCGGCTCCTGTGACAACATCGACGGTGCTCGTCTCGGTGTATGCCTTTCCGGAGTCTAACGTTTCGACACGAGCGATTTCATCATTGCGCTCCCGCAGGAGGGCGGCGGCTCTCTGGAGGATGCGGGCACGAGCAACGGGAGGGGTCTGAGACCAAGAGGGGAACGCACGGTCGGCGGCGGCCACGGCGGCATCTATATCGGAGGGGGCGGCGACCTGGATTTCGGCCAGCGGGGTAGCGTTGGAGGGGTTGATGGTCTGAAAGGTCTTGCCGGAAGAGGCAGGCTGGATCTTGCCATCGTAGTAGAGCTGACGCGTAGGGAACTCGAGGGACGACATGGTTGGAAAAGGGGACGAGTGTGAGAGAGGAAGATGAAAGGATGAGGAGATAACGAAGATTAAGATAGAAAGATAGTGAAAAAAGAGGTTTCAAGAGTGAAGGTACAGTTCAGGTACCTCGGCCCGCGCACTAAGCCGGAAACGCGACTTCATGGCTACACCGCCAACCCGATGATTTGCTGGACGGCCAATGATGTAATCCGACAGGCGGCGATCTTTCGGTCGGCATTCCTACTTACTATGTAGTAAGGACCGTCCCAAGTCCTATCTACAGGTCGATGTCTGATACGGTGAGGATAAAAAGTGGCGGATGGCGGAGATACTCCAAAGTACTCCGCACCTCGTAGACAGTAAGTAGGTAGATATGACCTCGGGAGGCTCCTATGGCTCAATGCGGTATCTCTGTGCATTCAACCCAAGCAGGCAATCCGATCCCGGATTCGCCTCGGCCCTGCATCTCCGATAGATTTAACCGTTGGTTAGCGTCCAGTCCGGCGGGATCGTGGCGTGCCCTAGTGTCTGGATATCGTGTGGGGAGTCCGCCGTCCAGCGCTTTTCGGAAGTTGACCGTGGAGGGTTGACACCATCCTGCTGGGCTGCCGATTCTACCGTGCGACCGCCTCCGCATATATACTACATATACGGAGTAAGTAGTAGTAGCAGAGTACTAGGACTTGGGCGTGTCAACTGTAGAAGGGATTGGATAATAATCCGGGGATGACCAGGTACCGCCATTGGTGGTACGTAACAATTTCACTATGTAGGCTGACGCATCCCAAATCCGACCAACGACTTCATCTTAGCCAAAACCTATTTTTCGCCCGTTCCGTGGGTCTTTTTTTCCTGACTAAGGAGCCCACCAAGCCACTAGCCCCACTACACGGCAGCCATTGGTGATCGTGAGTTCAATGCGGTGGAGGCTACAAGTGGGGCTTGTCTCTCTACGGAATGGGCCAGGAGAGAGGACCCGGCAGAAAAGAGAAAAGTAAAAGGCAGAAAAAAAAAAAAAAAAAAAAAAAAAAAAAAAGGGTCCATATTAACTCGGTCCTGCCACAGAGAGAGAAATCTTGGATTGAGGGATTGAGGTTAGAGCGTCCTATAGGATGTTGGATGTCGGTGGAATTATCTCATACTTTATCAACAGAACAGAATCAATTGTATTAATAATTGGAGGCCAACCCAGTCATGCTTTGAGACTTTTTATGAATTATTACAATGCTAATCCCCAGGAATGGAGCTGACTTTGGAGGCATCCCGAGAGCTCCCTTTCCTACTGATACAGATACGGTTGTAGC